ATTAACAGGCAATTGTGGCCTTAATGGACATTAACTATTTGTTCTTAAATGTCAAATGTGACACGGCCAAGAGTCACACATAAACACTGATAAATCAATAACCGAGCTTCTACAAGGCTACCTCACGACCATGATTGTGTTGTCAGATATAGATATCATTTGACAAGATCAAAACAAGAGCTGTCTGCTAACAATAGGTTCTACTTTTGGAACATTTCTGCCCTAAAAGAGAACATGAGCTGAAATAAATGTATAAATGTATGGTTAGGTGAAACACAAACAAACTGCAATGAATTCATTTAGTCTAACCATTTTTCCTGTAGTAAAGATGGGGGTGGGGCCAATTTTGGGTGGGGAGTGGCTGAAAAGAGACATGTGTTGTTGTTGTTTTTTTTAATTTAATTGACATGGTAATTGTTTTTTTTTCTTCACATAATAATAAAGACATAATTTTATAGAAAGTATAATTTTATAGAAATTTCCTACAGGTCAATAGGTATTAACATTGCAACATGTTGGCCAGTTATTGGTTTTCTTTAATATGCCTGAATTAACAAACATCATCAAAATGTTTTATTTTTCTTTAATCATTTGAAAAAACGCTATAATAAGCAGAAACTTTTTCAAAATGCAGAATGGGAAACCGGACTTAATGTAAAAATTTGAGAAGAGCAAACAGAATTATACAGAGGGTTTCGTTTTTGCTACTTTAAGTGCAAATTCTTCAGCTTTCGTTTTGGTAACAGTTGTCTTTAATCATCTGTTTTCAGTTTTATTAGAAAATAATTAAAGCATCATCAACATTGGCATTATCAAGTACTGAAATTCCAGGCTATTAAATCAGTTTGGATGTAAACTTTCCCATTTTCTTCTCCCAGCTTCTCAACATAACTGAAATTTTACATGTTAATTACCTCAAAGGATTTTAGAAACCAGTTTTATGCATAAATCATTAACATTCTTTGGGTTCTTTTTTTTTTTTCAATGATCAAACATTTAACACCTAAGAAAAACCTGCACATTCCAAGAGCGAAAGAAAAAGCTACTACAAAATTTGCTGCTAGGGATATTACTTCCTGATATCTGCACTAGAAAATAAATCCTTTCTCTTAAATAAACCATTATTATTTAATGAAGTGAAAAACATTTTCACTCAAACCCAGAAATTTTGAGGATATTAATTTATACATAAAACCTGCAGGATTTGATTTTTTACTGCCTACAAAGACCTTTCAATTCCTTTTACAGTTACTGGATACAGGGCACACACTGGCTCAAATAAAATAATAGCCAATATTTTCAACTTAAAAAAATAATAGCCAAAAGTTCAGCGGACTTTTCACGAATTAGTGAAATAAGCATTTGATTAAATAAACATTACATTTATATACAACTTTCAGTTTTATAAGGATTCTCAAATAAACCGATACATTTGTGTATATTGATAACTACCTTTTTTAAATAGAACCACCGCTTTAATGGTTATTATAGAACAGAATAAAAACGTTATCATAAGTATAATTACTGTATAACAATAATGTTAAAGATTCATTATAACTTTACATAATGCTGTTATCAGACAACTTTTTTTTGTTTGTTCTTATCAAATTTTGTCAGCTATAACCACTGTCAATTTCCACATTTCACACAGAACTGGAGTAGATCTAGGTCATATAAGCCTATAGAAATAACACAAGTTTGCAAACTCATTAACAGAATGCAGCCTTTTTTCTGAATAATTTATTGAAAAATATCATCATCACCAATGTAATACAAATTTTCTGCCATAGTAGTAAAGATTTTTAAACAGAACATAGCTTATTTCACCTTTAAATAAATATCAAAATTATCGGTGTCGCGAAAATATGTGACAATCGGATTTTTCCTGTTTTCTGAAGAAATATTCACAATTTTGGTTGTTGTGCAAATAGTTGTTGGGAATTTAATACTTTTTTTTAAATATTTTACCATTGCTTTCCACTGGCGATTTAGTCAAGTAGCTTAAAACAAAACAAAAATCAAAATTTGCAATTACTGCAATTCACGGTAAATTTTGGGCAAGTCAATATCCAGTTTATCAATTTTAAAACGATTTTTGTGGCTAATTGACGGATATTTGATGGCTATTATAAATGCTGGACAATATCTTTAAAGTACTTATACAATTATACATCTCTCATGTATTTTATCACCTCGGGCAATATAGTTAGCAGCGCGTGACCGGTAAAAAGTTGGCACCCCGCTGGTGTTAATTGGGTCTACTGCATTCATTATCGAATTTTACACCTTATATAAACACTGTTGGAAGTAAAAAATAATCGCCAGATTTTGTAGCCAAAATGCTAAAATAATCGCCAATCTTATAAAATAATCGCAAATGGCGACAATGGCGACCGACAGCGTGAGCCCTGGGATACCTCACAGGAAAATTGTTCTCAACATTTTATGAGCAAGGGTTACTATAGTGAAAGAACATAAAATCCAATTTCCTACAGAGAAATAGAAGAAAATGTTCTGATAGAAGTCGATTTCTAACAAATCAATTTGTACTTAAAGTAATGATTTTTAAATGATCACTTAGTAAAGTAAGTATAACTCGTTAAAATCATAAAATTGCTCGGAGCACTTCAGACATCTCCAGCCAATTCAATTTATGAAATTTCAACATAAACTTTGAAGTCTGAATTTCTCCAATTTATTACCATCATAATCCTAGGGCAAAATACTAAGACAGAATATTTCAACATAAACACGAGCTGGAACTATAAATGTGCATATAAAGTTTCAAAGATTAAAGATTGTCATTCTTCTTAGATAACAAAATCTTCAAAATAATGTATACCATACAACATATACAGTGATCTTTTTAAAAGACTAGTTTGAAGTTAAAATTTGGCCCCATTTGCCCGTCTGAAAAGGTATATAATTTTCTTCAATTAAAGAACATTTTACATGCTCAATCTAAATATAGAAAATCATTAAACTATTTTGGAGTAATTTAAACTGAGCAAAGCAGTATTTCTTTTATTTCCGGTTTGGTTTGGTGTTGCACCAACACAGTAGAGGTCATATGGCAACTTTCCAGCTTTACTAGTGGAGGACACAACCTTAGGTGCCCCTTAATGCATCATTTCAACCACCAATGTTTCGTTAGCTAGCTGGAAAAGTTTGCTCCCATGGAAGAATAAAAAGTCTCTGGCAGGACTCAAACCCACAGCCTTGAGGGTAAAGTGGCTTAAAGTCAACAACCTTAACCAATCTGCAACAGACGCCCCTGAAAACCAGTATGGATATCTAAGTAGGGACACCTTGGTGTTCATTTTTTTTTAATTTAAATTTTTATTAATTATTGTTTTAAACCTTTCCAATTTGACTTTTTTCCCATATTGCTGATAACAGCACATTTTTTCCACACCACCTTTCCTTGGAATGTTAAAAATCATAAATATATCAACACCTATAAATGCCAGCTTTTTTTAAGGTAATTAAGTTTTTTTATCATAATCCCTTTGTGAAAGTGTTACTTTTCTGCTTTAATCAATACAGAATAAAATTTCATCAATAATCAATACTGGTGCCCAATGACAGAAGTTTAGTAAGTGCAGTTTTTCATGTAATATTACTCATCCCCCACTCCTTTTACAACCCCGAGTAAATCTATCACTATTTAAATATGAATGAGCACTGGAAGTTGATATCAATTAATTTCACCAATGAGCAAAGGATGATCTATAAAACAAACAAAAAACACCACCAATTAATTTCCTTGAAAAGATCAACAATTTTCATCAAGTTTATAGGAAATCAAAAAGCAGTTGAGAAGGAAATGAAATTGTCCGTCTTAAAAACCTCATTATATTTCAAGTGACCTTTTACCTTTAAAAATTAAGTATTATTTTATCAACAATCAAATTATTATATTTATTATATACCCTGAAGCTAATTAAAAATACTAATTAAACTTGTTGGACATAAAGGAAGGTCAACAACTTAACAATGGCCGGGCAATTTCAACCATTATTCACTATCTTTTTAAACCATTATTCACTATCTTTTTTAACCATTTTTGCCTTTATTCAAGATCAATCAAAAGTTTATAATCATAAAGAATTTATAATGGAAAACTCTTAAATGTGTCATTCATTAATAAGACATCCGTGAAAAAAATATGAGAACGTATTCCAAATAGAATTTTTTTCCGCGCCTATAAAAAATCAAACAATATACGTTTGCCAACATGGAATTCATTGAGGATTTACATAAACTACCTGGGCTTATCAGACAGTATCCTTACAAGACCTCTAAACAAATATTATGCTACAACTGATTAACATCATATGTGCATAACAACTATAACTCATTAGGTAAAGGAGTACTGCTGCAAGTGTTTTATTGAGAATAATTGGCACACGTTCTGTAAATAATAGTTGCCAGCTGTCTTTATTGCAGCAAAAAAAAAATCCCACTCTCGTAGATTCAGGAATTCGTGCAATGTTATTATGATAGTATGCATAAATTTAGAAAGCAGCCTCGTGTGGATCCTTCATTAAGCTAAATAATCATAAATGCTCCACGAAATCAGAATATCTGTTCATCAATTTGCCAAACCAGATCTCCCAATTTTGCAAAAAAAATGCATTTATCAGTTCAGTTCTTTTAAGATACAGTTTTCACTTAAAGATGTTTGGAAATCATTCTTGCACTTTTTTTCTCCTTTTTGCCCATTTCGTTTCCTTTACGAAGGGAAAAATTAAAATTATTCTCTTAGGTTAATAAGGTATATCATTTAATAGAGAAAAAAACTACTTAAAAAAAACACTTTAAAACACAAATAAATCTGTGAAACTAATTGTCCACTTTTTAGTGAAAAGATGCATTTCATTGAATAGCCAGCTGGTTAGCCTTTGAGGACAACTGGTTCAAAAAAGCATTTTAACAGGTTATTACGATATCATATAATTACGATATATTGGTGAACAATGTTCCTCACACAAGCTTACCTGCTCTAAGCGGTCTTGGTACCCCACCAACAAATATTGTCTTTCTTGGATCTAGAGGTTGGGAACCATCCATAACAAAGTCTGAATCACTGAGGTTCCATGGTCTAATCTGAACCTGAAATTTGACACAAATTTTGTCATTATTATAAGTAAATTTCAGTATATTTACCCATAACTTTTTTTAATGTGTGAAATTGATTTTCCTTGCTTTGAATTTGGAATTTTAAAATCAAAATACAAGAATTGAGCTACCAACAGTTTAGACCCTGCTCAGAAACACAGATGTGCAGTCTGGCCTGGCTCTATACTTCCGGCAAACTATAAGGCAGTCCTTACTGAAAAATTTGCTTGCAAGTTTGCCGTCAAAAATCTCGGAGAAAGTTGTTAATTAAGAAAGAACAAAAATACATTTTTCAAAATCTAGTTACATATATAGGGTACAGGAAAATATATACTATAGGGGAATATTCTAATGCACTTCACTATCTTAGCAATACAAACTCAGGGCTGGCCTGATTTTGACCTGTTTGTCCGATTTAATCAAAAGGATTTATTAACTTGTCCGTTGAATACTCTACAGTTAGTAGGTTACTCATTTTTATCTCTTTTTTTTTTTTTTGCAAAAAGATCCCAATGCCTCTAGTCCTGAATACATGTTATTTTAAAAACCATTTCTATCAATTACAGTAATGAAAAATAAAATGATGATTACTTTACATGTTTTCTCAAACTTATTTTACACGCTATGCTGTTCATGAATTTTTTAACATAAATTACATTGTTACATTACTCTAATAAAAGAGTCCATAGCTAGCAATAACATGGAAACAGATGTTAATGGCATCAAATAAAATATCAAATATTAATTTTTTTGTAACATTCATTACAATTTTATGTTAAAATCATACAATTTTATAATTTTCAGTTGAAAAAAAAAATATTTAAATGAAATAAAAACAGCTTTGCTGAAGAGAAAGGCATAATTCAGAAAAAGCATAGAAATTGTTTGTCTTTGTTTTATTTTTTGTGTCAAGTTCAACAGCTGTTAACAGAATTTCACTCCAGCACCTCTATATTATGTATTATTTATTAGCCAGCAACCTTCAATTTTCAACATATGTTTAACTCATATTCATCTTCTTTGAGTAAAAGGAGTTAAGGGGTGTCACACTCTTACGGCACGCTTTTAGCAAAAACCAGAGCAAAATTTTTAGGGAAGACCAGGATGGGTTGATTTGAATTTGACCCTACTGACAGCATCATACCATCAAAACAGATCTTTTATGCATCTCAGCAAATGTACAAGCATCAAATAGAATATGATTATGGTACCAAGTGTGTAAATTTCAGTTCTCTCATAATTCAAATGGAATGAAAAGTAACTTAAAGAATTTAACATATCACCTTAAAGAGTGCAGTAAGAAAGAATAAGAGTTAACTTGTCATAGCACATTAAAACAATATTACAAAGATATATTAATTGCTATAGATATTTTATACTTTTATTCAGTGCTGGACATCGATATTATTTTTTTTAAAAATCCATGTATTACTATTTTGGATTTTTCTTTTATTCTTTCTTAAAAATTCTTTTTCTTCCCCCTAGAAAACAAGGTCAATGCTCCAATTCCCCATACTCTTCAGTATGTGAGAAGGAATTGATCATTAATGTGTCAGGCCCAATAATGATGAAACAAATTTACTATAAAAGAATGATTATTGGGAGAATTCCATTGATTGCCCCTCCAAGTGACTCTACAATTTCTACCATAGTAAAAGTCCTCATCTAATCTGCTCAAAGGACTGGTATTGACTTCTAACATTTTACTACTGTTTGTCATGTGACCAAGATCTGTGATTCACTGATAACCTCACTGTTCATAATAGTCTATTATTACTTCTTTTTTTCTTCATTTTTTTTTTTCAAATTCAACACATGATCTTACATTCACTACTCCTTTTTTTCAAATTCATTTAATCACTGCCAAGGGTTGGAGTTAAGTTCCCAAAATCCTGAGAAAAAACCCTGTTATGGTGCAATGTTTTCAATCTTATATATGGGAATATATCATAAAAGGACAGTCCTACATGTATTTCAACTTAAATGAAAAATGTTTTACACTCTATCTAGAAAATTATACAGGAAAATTTTAGAATCCTTTTCAGAATTAACACCTTAAAATATTTCAATTTAAAAAATGTTGTTCACTCTATCAGGGAAATTATATAGCAAAATTTTTTGGAATCCTTTTCAAAATATAAACTCCTTAAAACTTAAATGAGCCGCGTCACGACAAAACCAACATAATGGGTTTGCGACCAGCATGGATCCAGACCAGCCTGCGCATCCGCACAGTCTGATCAGGATCCATGCTGTTCGCTTACAAACCCTATTACAAGTAGAGAAACTGATAGCGAACAGCATGGATCCTGATCAGACGATCCTGATCAGACTGCGCGGAAGCGCAGCCAGGCTGGTTTGGATCCATGCTGGTCGCAAACCCATTATGTTGGTTTTGTCATGACGCGGCTCAAATATAAACTATAATATATTAAACTTACAGGTTTATTTTTCATGGTTGGGCTGGAAACGCACCAGTAGAGTTTATCATCATCAACGATGCATTGTTCAATCAGGTTTTGGACAGACACCTCATCTTGGAACAGAAGGAATGAGTAACCTGTAAATAAAAAAAATAACAACAATCATGTACTGAAAATTTAAATGATGACACATAAGTTAATGCCATGTATAAATTCTTAAACAGATGTAAAAAAAAAAAGTCAATGTAATTTTAATTACCCTGTAGCTTGTTTAACTTTAAATAATTAAACAGTTAACATTAACGAAATTTTATTGTTCAATGTTAGGTGGGGTGTTTTTTTTTTTTCTTTCTTGTTCTTGTTGCTTTATTTTGGTGTGGGTTTTTTTTTGTTACAAAGACTTTCAAGCCAATGTTACAATTGTTGTAACTAAGCAAAAGTGACTGGAAAACAAAAGAATTCATATGATTTTTCTAAAACAGTATAATTATGTTTCAAACATGCAACTGATGCATTTATGCCTGCAATTAATTTCACATTTTCATTGTTTTAAACTGCAAAATAAAATACTAAAAATAGAATTCAAGTCAAAAAATCATTTAACATCCAAAAACTTCATTGTAATTATAAAATATAACTCCTATCTTACATACCCTATCCACTTCTTGCAAAAGCAATAAAGTGTTTCAGGTACAATCAAATTTCGCGCCATTTTTTCATAGAAAGGGGAAGGTGGCCTTTCATTTATATTTAGAAATAAAACAAGGTATTTTTTGCAAACTGGAAAAAAATAATACTGTTAATTGATTTTTTGGGGAAAAACTGTATGATTATAAGATTTTCTCGAGGGGAAGAAGCCCTTAAACGGTCCGGTCCGTGCTATAGACAGGAAAAAAACCTGCATCAATACTTGGTATATATATCAATTAACATCTCTGCCTGTTTTTTGATAATTAAAATTTGTAGCATTTGGCAAAAATTCATCATAAATTCATGAAGCAGAAAGCATATTTTGAACTATTATATTATATAAACAAATCATTGGCAGAACTTCTGATCTAGACAAGTATGCTGCAGTAATTAGAAACATCTCTGACACAATTCTTAAACACAAATATGCCTTAACCATAGACAGTGTATGTCTGCAGATACTTGTAACTGTTATAACATAAATATGCAATATAAATGACAATAATTAACACAATTATTATGACAAGATGCAATATTTATTGTATGAACTTGGCACCATTGAGTCCTAGAAATTATTTAGTAAGAACCTAATTAATTAGGTGGAGTGCAGATGGCAGAAAATCAATAATAACAAAGTCATCTATCATGCCATGCATGAATAATGACAGAGTGACAGTGAAATCTGCTCTACATTACATGAATAAAACAATGATGAAAACATAAATGGGCCTTAACTTAATTAACAAATTATCAAATTACTTCATTAAATGGTCATTGCTTTTCAACAGGTGTCTGTCTGGGCATGGCACATTTAATTGTCTCACTATTTACTTTTAATTGAGCTCCCTGATGGTTTAGATTTTTCTTTGGCCATTTGAAGTATGAATTTTTAAGAGTAAGTTTGAAAAGGTCAAACATTTTATTAAGAGCATAGTGCCTCCTGTATTACTGCAGGCAGAGCCAGTCTTTATCACAATGCCAATACTGAAAAGTGAATTCACAAATCTTATTGTACTCCCAACTTATGTGAAATTATGATGACCCTATAAAACAAATGGTAAAACCTTTCAAAATCATATAAATGAACAATTGCTTCAAATTCTTCAAGTCAAATAGACTTTTCCAACACAAACTTGTGATTTTTTAGCTGAGCAAATTGTTTCCTTGAAGTGCCTTTTTTTTTCAAAGTAAAAATGGTACACAGCTGTAATCTAGGCACTTTTGTGGATTTGTACCAGTGTCATCTTCATCTGTCAACTTCAGTAGAAAAGGATAAATGATCTTAACAACCTAATTATATATTAATTTTTGCAAGATATGGGCATTTTACAGTTGATCCAAATATTGATCCTGATCCTAAAATTGATCCTTATTTTGATCCAAATATTTTTGTATTTTTTTTTTGTTATTTGTTAATTTTATCCCAAAATAGTTTGGTTTCTTTGAAAATCAGCTTTTTTGAATATTTATCATTATATTCTAGCAAACACGATTAATTTTAGTAACATAAAACAATGAAAATAAAATCAGGATCACTTAATCCTGATCCTGATCTTTTCTTAGTGAACACGGGGCCAGGCCTGCTGAAAGCTAAGATCCATAAACCTAACATTGACCTTTCACATTTTAGCCATATACCTAACATTTCCCTATCATTTCTTAGCCATATACTTAACATTTCTCTATCATTTCTTAGCCATATACTTAACATTTCTCTGTCATTTCTTAGCCATATACTTAACATTTTCCAATCAATTCTTAGAAAGAAAGACGGACCAAACAGAAAGGGTGATACATTAAATTTCGTGATAAAACTTTAGCCAAGGGGGAAAACCAAAAATAACATCATAGACAAGAAAAAGTCTATATAATTCAACATCAAACACTTACACCAAACACAGATCCAATATCATCCACTAGTTTACCATGATGTATGATCTCAATTCAATTATACATTTGTAGAAACAAAACAGAAGCCCCCAACATTTCCCAATTTCATAATAATCAAGCAAATTTTCTGCAACAGGAAATCATCTACAGACATTAGATTGGGAGGAAAATGGCTTCGATCAATCAATAAGCCTTCCCAATAAAAAGAAGAAAGAAAATGAATTGAAGGACAAAGATATCACTTGGTTTTACATTTCCTACTATATGACAATGTCGGTCTGTGAAAGATTTACAGCAAAAAACCATTTCATCAATAATCGAGATCATAACAGTTGGGATTTAACGATGGTTTCTGGTCTAGGAAGAAATATTTTGTCTCCAAATATTATACGCTGACAATCTTTATCACTATGTTGGTATTTATTCAACTCAGAGAAAAAAATAAATAATTCAGCCTGTTGTTTTTCCCGAGAATTGAACATCATGAAGAAAAAAAAGATTTATAAAGGTTATAAAAAAAATGAACTCATTTTAAATTTTCTTATGTAAAACAAAATGTGTTACCAAGAAAATATTGCACCCTAGAAAAACATTGCACCCTTTCCATATCCATAAATCATTACAAAACTAAAACTATAGTGCAAATTTCACAAAGGTCAAGATTTATTTAGGTCATGGTTGTTCATAAATATGACAACACTACAGGTATCTTTTGTCAATATATGAAGGCTCTATCTAACATACAGAATAATAATGTTTAGGTTTTATGCTATAAGAGAAAGTACAAGCAGACAAAAAGACAGAACAAATCAACCTCCAAACAACCTCCACAATCTATAGAAAAAAAACTTGTGTGCATAGAGTCTAGTGTCTTAATTCTGTATTCAGCTCACACTTTTGTTGCTTTCAGTTGGTGTATCATTCTTAGTACATTTTCCCTTAGGTGTTGCATATATAATAGATTATATAAATATATATAATTCTCTAAGAAATTGTTGTGCTGCTTAGCAACTAATGAAAGTGATAGTCCATCTTATCTAGTCCCTTAAACATTTCTCCCTATCTGATATAGTGAAAATCAGGCTTATATTTTGACCATGTCACAAGCAACTTAAATTTTCTCAAAATGCTCTCTTGGATGAAAATGTACAAAGGTGGTAAATCAGACAATTCAGGACTAAAACTACTTTCACAGTTCATATTTAAATTAATCATGTTTAAAAGCTTGAATTGGCTGCTTTAAATCAATCACTTTTTCACTTCAACTTCTAAAATATGAATTTTTTTTATCTTAAACACTAAATCTTCACCCCCAATGGTCATTAGAACTTGGCACATCTTGTGGTCTAAATAACTAACTAATTTTCTCTTTGTCATTTCTATCATATTAAACATAATTGCCAAAAAGCTGAGCCAAGAGCAAAATTATCTTCTTTTTTTCCTACCTTACTTTACCCATTTTTTTTTCAGAATGGAAAATCATATAGATCTTTCTTCCTAAATATCCACAATATTTTTTTTTCAGTTAAAGTTAAACCCAATTCATGTACTAGCCAATATTTTTCTATACATAAAACATTAATATTAGAACATAAAGGGGAGCATTGGACATGTGATTAAGGTGTCTGCCTCTCAATTCAGGGAACATTAGTTCAAGCCCTAATGTGGCCACAATCATGTTTCTTTATATGACACCAGTACAAGCTCATTAGCTGGCTTAAGATTGGTTCAAATCATCAAACTTTCATCATAATCAAGCTAATATAAATATGTTTAACCTAACTAGATTTGAAACTTATTAAGATTTTTTCTCAATAAATGAAGAGAACAAAAACGCCTATATTGCTTGTAAAAGTGAATTAGAGTTATCAAAATTTTAAACACATTTGTATTTACTCAAAATAAATTTAGTGCCATATCAACAATGTTTGAAACAAAATAATCAGTATGACCCAAGAATTTTCTTCAGGTCAAACAATTTTAGAATAGGTTACAAGTAGGTTGAAATTAAAAAATTTCTATCCCCCTCCACCGCACTAAACTTACTTTTCCCAGGGGCCTAAAGGGGTTATTTTGAATATAATTATAACAGAAACTATAGTTCTGTTAATTATATTAATTGATATTATGTTCAAGCAGTTTTAAAAACTCGTTCTTAACTGGTATGAGTGATATCTCATATATTGCTCTTAAACTGTTATGAAAAAATTATACATATATGATAAAATAAACTTTAACTAATAAAAGCCTACTATTTTCTTTTTTTCCCCTCACATGTATAAAAGAATATAAAGTCCCTGGTGGGATTCAAACCCCCCAGTACTGTACAGTTATAAGTCCAAATTAAATAACTGGCAAATTTTATAACCTTTACCAATCAACAATTATCAATATTGAATGACAATATACCTTTTTTTCCTGATTTGATATCAGGATATAGAAATTGCGTTATCACTTAAATATTTGCATTTTCGCCCAATCCTCCTGAGAAATAGAATACTATTGATTTCTCTGAAACTATTCAGCTTGCCTAGCGACAGTGACTGTGAAAGATAAATCTTTTTTTTTTCTATCCTAACACTGGGATTACCACGAATCATGATCAGTTTCAATTAAATTTGTATCATATTGATGTTTACACAAACATTCTGTACAATAGAACTAACAGATTCAATCCTAAAAACTTAATTATCCGTACATTACTGTCATTAATATTCTTTTCAATCAGAGAACTTGCTTGTATCAAACCCAGACATTAATTTTTGCTTGTAAAGAGAAAATGATAAATGAGTTTACTACCCCAGTACCCACTGCACTTGTACATGGTAATTTTTGGTCTTTTTCTTAACCTTTAGTCTGTGGTCTACACCAGAATATATACCCATTGTCATCAGTGCAGACCAAGATCAACTGCCATCTGATCATGGTCTGCACTGTACAAAATTCAAAAGTCACTGTCAGTACATATTTCAAAATTTTCCCTAAAAAATAAATAATGGTTTTGTCCAGATTGAAAGTCAATTTAAGATATTTAGCATGGTATGGAGTTAAGATCAAAACTTTGCAGTGATTTTATCAAGAAAATCAGAGAGCATAATGACACCTATTCATTTTTTGTACCTGATTATATTCGTGAAAATGATACCATATTCGTGAAAATGATACCCATTTTAAGACCAGTAAATAATTTAATAAAGGCAAATGATATATTCAATCCATTTCCATGTATTTTACAAAATTGAAACTTTTAAAAAAAACACCCATTTCATTGTGAATTAATATAAAATTATTTTTTTTAGCTTGCTTCCATAAAAACTAAAGAAACCTCTCAATCAGTCAATGATTTCCCCTCAACTTGAAGACTGGATGCCTTTACTTTGATGAAATTGACTTGTCAGAATATTTTTTAATGTCTTCTCCATGTACAAAGAATATTTCATTGCAATATTTTTTTCATAAGCATGTTTTCTTTTTTTATTCTAGGATGAATTTTCAGAATTTTCCAATACACAAAATCTTGTTTCTAAAAAAAATATTATGTTTATTTCATTGCATTAAAATTTGATCAAATACATCACAGTGTCATAGTGTCAAAACAAAGCACTCCTGCCAACAATGGAAATGTCATCAACTACCAACAGGTGTTCAAACTCACATGTACCTAATGGCCTTAAAAATGTCATATATTTCCTAACAGCAGTGAGTGCATAGTAATTGATAGTACAGTATAGTAAAAAGACTTCATTATATATTTATGTCAATGGGGCTAGTCACCATAGACCAATCAGCAAAAACAAAAAAACAACAGAAAATCAAGATTAAAATACTAAGGTTACAATAATTTTGATTGGTAATTACATGTTACTTTAAATCACTTGCATCTCAAAGATTAAAGTTCAAATCGGCTACAGCCTAAAATAGTGACTGGAGGGGTCTTTCAAAATACAAAATTATATTACACCAGTTTATTGAAACCCAGCCTCCCAACTCTTTGTTGAACCTTTGATTTTCAAAACCCACTGCATTGCCCTGGCAATGGCAAAGGTTAAATATCTAGTAAGCTCATATTTAACTGGTCAGTCACAATGAAACAGTTACTTTGGCATCAGCGCTTCCATTAAGTTCTAATATTTTGAAGTCAGAGACTGACATTGGAAGTCTAATTATATAGGTAAACAAGAAAAGCATTATATTACGGAAATCACAAGCCAAAATCAGGAGTAAATGACTCTCAAACTTCCACTAATGAAGGCCCTGGGCATATTCTCAACAATTTGCCACCCCATCCCACCCCTTTCACCGCCCTCTCTCTTAATAGAATACAATCTCTTGTTTATGAGATATAAGACTTCAAATGTCAGGTGCTATGGTATTCCAGTCTATACCATTAACAACTTTTAACATTCAGAAATTACTTTTTGAATTCTAAAAAATTATATATTACATAAATAGTACCAACCCCTTACTTACAAACCAAATCCAATGTTCATCAAACTTATCTATCAGACAAAAAGCGGACATGAACGACTGACAGACAAATAAAGATCAGTTCTTACAGACATTTTGAGACCAACATTGGACTAATTACATTGTAAACTATGGCTTAATGTGGTCCTGACATCCGCAATGTCTAACGGGAATTGTTGCCATCACCATTATGTGATCAAGTTTTTCAATAATTGTCAGGGACATTACCTTTTGGAGGGAAGTAAGATTTACTCTCGGCTTTATGTGGCCAATCAACGACTACTGGACCAAACCTCCGGAATGCTATCGTAATCTCCTCTGAAAATAGAATCATAAACACAATTAATAAGTTATTCAATATCACTGTCTATTAAATTTCCATCCAAAATCCATTAACAATACACACATTGCTTCTTTATTTCTCTATAATAAATCTTTTTTTATTTTTTATCAAATAACTATTAAATGATATTAAAGATTTTTGGCATGCTGCAGAGTGTTAAATAAATCAAATATTTCCAAGCTTTTCCCCAGTCCTATGTTGTTCTTTCTGAAAAGACTTCTAAGAACTAACCTTGACATGATGGCATTAACTAATCATCACTATATTTATTTCCCATGCAAAGACCTGAATTGGTCATGTTACCTTTGGTTGGTAGGCTTGTTTATACCAGAAGTCTCTTAATTAATGGTTATTGACGAGGTGTATAGGTGTGATAGGACTCTGTAAACTTTACATAAATTATTTACCAAAAAACTTTGGCTTAACTCAAGTCATTTACATCAAATACAATTCATATTGGTGCTTGTAAAGTACAGTCCTGTAGTTAATAGTTCAAGAGTTAATATACACAATATCTTTAACTACATGTAAGGTCAGAAAGCAGACATAATGGTATTTGCATCATCACTGATCACATTAATTGATCCCTTACAATACATTTTATATAATAACCATGGTTTGATATAAGATGTCATTAAAACATCTCAACAAGTATGACAGAAATTAGTTAAATTTTGCCACATAATTAGTTTTGATTGAGACCTTTACCTGTAGCAAGGCAAGGAAAGTCTGTGGATTGATGATCAATAAATATTTCTTGGAAATTGTATATATAAAGACTAAACAGAACATAAAGCATGCAATAGACTTGAATTCTTTGCGTAATTTAGCTCTATGTCCTTGATACAGCAACATGCCTAACATTCCTGCTCATAAATGAAACTGGATTTTCATCTAAATATACATTTTGCCTGAAATTCCTTCAAAAAAGACATTTTTAACCTGCAAAAGTTTCCAATAGATTTATTTTGTTCAATATTCAATTGATTAAAATCATTTTTTTAGACATTCTTATTTCATATCCTATCTAATATAAGACTGACTTAAAACCTCATGAGAAAGGAGCAAGTGCATGTTCTACAGTACAGAGTCTGCAAGTTTGATCCTTAGTAAAAATAACATATCATGTGTAAAGCCAAGTCGGGCATATTCCTGGTGAAACCAAGTGTGATTAGTCTTTGCCATCAGTATATTGCCAAGCCAGCCTGCACAATTATGCAGTTTGACCAGGTTCTGTATTGCTGACTACCAAACTTTTAATTTTCATCTTGATAACTGCAAAATTGACAGTTCCAAAAACGAAAGCTTGAAAAGTTCATTTCACAAATTCAGGCCAAAATACGACATAATTTAAAAGTCTTTAAAGTCACTTTAATTTTGAACTAACAAAATTAATAATGTTAGAGAAAGAAATTTTACTTTAAAACATAAACCAATGAAAATACAGGTCAAGCAATAATATCTTACACTTCAAGAAAATAAACATTTCTAAAAATATTTTTTTTCTTGGAAAGCAAATACGTATTTCCAATAGAGTGCCAATAAGCACACTCCATTAGTGAAGCTCAAATCACTGTTGAAAAACTGTTCATACTTCAATAAACACTATTGCACCTTTTATATATACAATACCAAAGCTGGAAATTATGCTTACATTCCTAAAAGCTCAATTAATTTCCTTCTTATTAAGTTCATCAGAATATAATTTGTATCCTAATATGGTTAAAGTTTTAAACATGTAGTAGATTTTACCAAGTAAATTTCTGTTGCAATTACATGTACCTAAAACCTTAATTTCTGAACTGGTCACCTACTTGTTGTTTTAATCTTGGCTTTGCTCTATAGCTTTAAAGTATTTCACACATACACCTACTGGTGCTAACTTGTCAAAATGATGCACTGACAAATTCAGTCTTGACTTTGGTCAAGAAGGGAGATATTGCCCATTTATAAACAATGAAACACAATATCTTGACACTTGAAAGGACAAATAGTTGGAACAGCAGCTCACCTATCAGTGTTCCTAATTCTTTACCAGTACTGAACTAATTTTTCTTAAAGAAACTTCCAACCTCTAAAAAAAAAATTTTTAAACTGGTGGTAGATGAATGGCATTATACATCCCAATTATTTGATGATAAATATAATGTTCTTTTTCCTGGACACAAGATCCCCTAGACTAAAATGGTAGTTTATTTTCCATGCCTTTAAGAGATTTGTCAAAATACCCTAGACAGCAATTCATTTTTTTAATTTCACTGTTTCTTGATTTTAAAAGTACTATGTACTTGTATGTATAAAACCTTGACCATTATGGTTTAACATTAATATGTGTCTGATTATTTCCATTAGACAGCATTTCCATTAAAATGAGCTTGCTTAAATGTCAAAAGCAGAAATATCAATTTTCCAAAGCTAAGGAATTCAGACGTACAAAAAAACCCTGAAATGTTCCACTTCGTCTCCATTATAGTAGAGCAGACATAATATCGAGCCTTGTGCAAGGAACAAAAAAATATTAGCTTTCACAAGATGCCTTCCCAAGAGTGAATATTTTGAAATTTCTCCCACTTTTTCCTCGGAATGTGCAAGTTTTACAGTAGCCATAATGCAGTGAGAGAGCTAACAAACTCTTTTTACGTGTGATTATGGCATATCATGCCTGGTAATAAAAGAGAAGTCATTTAAGAATCATAGAAAAACCCTAATTTCATAGGAAAAACCTTAATTTCATTGAAATGTCAGGCAACCGTTGTTATGGAAAAAGCAAGCTAGTAATGATTAATGTTCCTCTAATGCCATTTGATAATTTCAGTGCACATGCTCTATAAATATGGGAAACTGTTATTTCCGCGATCTTTTGTATTTCCGCTTTTCAACAGTCATACAGTCAATAACATGTGGTGACATGAGAAAATGGGGAACCTTGGGTAGCATGTATAAAATTATGAAACTTATATATATAATCTATTATGTATAGAATTATGAAACAGCAAAGTGTGGTACCACTGATCTCCCAGCAAGTTTTTAGTGGTACTAAATAGAAACAGTCCTTTACAATTTTCGTAAGCAAAAGCTGCCGATCAAATCACTGACTACTGCAGAATGCAGACAGCTACTATTATCAAACCATAATAAATGCAACACTTCAAGATCAATTAGGAATGCTTTACCATTGTCTGCACACAAATTTTTTACTGGCTACTGTAAAACACTAGACTACACTACACTAGACTCTGATTGATTCAAGTAATAGACATTATAAATTTTTCAGAAAATAAGAATAAAATGAAAAAGGCGTACCTTCATCTATATCAGGGGGAAGTCCTCCCACAAAAACTTTTCTGGAGAATCTTTCTACTCGCTCCCCTATTGGAGATGTGTTCACTGGGGACCCTAGACTTGGAACTGTCTGGTCTAAGGAGGTGTCTTCCACTAATGCTCCATTGGGGTCATCATTAAACATGAACTGTGGGACCTTCCCTAAAATTTGAAAATGATAATTACTTTATTTTTTCACAGTTTAAAGGAGCCATACATAATAAAATTAATATTTTATTACTACAGTAACCATTTCATCTTGAATAATGAAGAGAAGCAAAAATAATGGCTTACAGTCAAGTTTTGTAACTTACCATGCATAAACAAATTCTTGTTGATTTAATATGCAATGTCTATATACAAGATTCAATTTTCGGTAGATCTCTTTATCAGTCTGCTATGATAAACAAATCAGAAATCTGTCATGTTAAAAGAGGACTCAAAATAAGTATTGGTTTTGCTGAAAAGTGATAAATTACATAGTTACTATTTGTTAAAAATTGAACAAATGCAGACAAGTGCATGCATTATCTGGATTGGTGATTATTAATTTTATTTGGCACCACAGGTAGAAAGGAGGGGACTTTACTAATTTGAGGGAAAATAACAAAAGAAAAAGAAAAAACTTAATGCAAATTTTAGGGTAAAATTACATGATTTTAATGATTTTTAGGGGGGACCTCCCTTAAACCTGTATAGAAGGATAAAAGCTCCAGGCATTTAATTATGTCATGTTGAACCTGTGGTATGTGCTTTTTGCATAACATACTTGGAACACTAATCTTAGAATATCTAAATACTCATTTCAGCTTAATTGCTTATGCTCAAAACTTTACAGGTATGCCACTAGGTGGTTATTGATTGGAAAAGAGAGAACATAATCAGCAAAAGAAAGGATGAGGAACAGAAACATTCAATGATCTTAAAAGTAAACTTAGCAAATTAACAACATCATTTAATATCTTCCGATATCTAATATCAGATCTATAACACCTTAACAAGTAAGGTATTCTAAAATGTCATTCTAAATTAATATACATATACAACTTATCACATAATTGTATATTTATGAAATCAGCAAAATTAACTATTAAACATAGGTAGGCATTTATAATAAGTTTTATTCATAACAAAATTATCAGACTCAATGAATTTAATTATTCTAACAACAGAAACAAAATTTAAACACAACTCGCAAAATATATGAACATATGAATTTAAACAAACTGACTAACATTTTAATAGTAATATAAACCATAACTAAAATCAATTATGGACTTAAACAGTATCATGTCAAGAAAGTGCATGTGTTTGGGATAAAGACAGAGAAAAGTCACAATTTATTGTCAAAGTGATCAGAAATTCTCCAAATAATATTCTTAGAAAAAAAATGTTACTGTAAAAAAGTGCAGCATCTTTTTTTTTCAGTAATAAGAATACAGATTTTTGTAGATTGTACTTAAATGGATTGGCAGATATTACTCTGAAATCCATATCAGAGCTTATTAAGTTTAGTACTGGCACTTAGAACCATTTAGACATATAATCCAACTAGAGGATGCTTTTGTAAAAAAGCGCATGTCTCCCCCACTGCTGAGAATAACTGTGAATGGAAACAGGAATGGAAATGGAGATAAGATAATGTAAATACCCGGTAGTCACTTCAATGAAGGCTGTCTATGGATGGTTTCTATTGTTAAGGTTAAGAACTCTAGTTATCATCCGGAAATGAGAAAATGACCAATGGTCACTGTGACCTTAACCTTTGACCTACTGACCCCATAAACAAGAGGGATAATCTGCTCAATAAGACCAATCATCCTATGAAGTTTGAGGGTTGTAGGTCTAAAGGAACTCTAGTTATCATCCGGAAAGGAGAAATTAACCAACGGTCGCTGTGACCTTGACCTTTGACCTACTGACCATTAAAACAATAGGGATCATTTGATTAATAAGACCAATCATCCTATGAAGTTTGAGGGTAGTAGGTCAAAAGGAACTCTAGTTATCATCCGGAAATGAGAAATTGACCAACGGTCACTGTGACCTTGACCTTTGACCTACTGACCCCAAAAACAATAGGGATCATCTGCTCTATAAGACCAACCATCCTATGAAGTTTGAGGGCTGTAGGTCAAAAGGAACTCTAGTTATCATCCGGAAACGAGAAATTGACCAACGGTCACTGTGACCTTGACCTTTGAACTACTGACCCCAAAAACAATAGGGATCATCTGCTCAATAAGACCAATCATCCTATGAAGTTTGAGGTCTGTAATTCTAAAGGAACTCTAGTTATCATCCGGAAACGAGAAATTGACCAACGGTCAGTGTGACCTTGACCTTTGACCTACTGACCCCAAAAACAATAGGGATCATCAGCTCTATAAGACCAATCATCCTATGAAGTTTGAGGGCTGTAGGTCAAAAGGAACTCTAGTTATCATCCGGAAACGAGAAATTGACCAACGGTCACTGTGACCTTGACCTTTGAACTACTGACCCCAAAAACAATAGGGATCATCTGCTCAATAAGACCATTCATCCTATGAAGTTTGAGAGCTGTAGGTCAAAAGGAACTCTAGTTATCGTCCGGAAACGAAGAATGGACGACGGACTGACGGACGGACAGGGCAAAAACAATATGTCTCCCCCCGAGGTGGGGGAGACATAATTACTAAACAGTTATGTTCTATGACATACATCCCTGTAAGAAGACCATAAAACAATTATCAAATATCTTTTTGTATTTGTTAATATCGAATATTGTTCAATTTCATAGAAACATTGTATGTCTGCAGTCAAATAAAAAAGTAACATGAATTTACCTAATTTCTGTTTGAAATTCAAGGCTGCAAAGAGAAACAAGGTGAGGATTTTTTTTCTAATTGAAAACTTGCATGTCAATGTATAATAACTTGAAAATATCAGACAAACAGATGACAACTTCAAACGTTTTAGGGAGAAAAAAATATTCTTTTCTTCAAAGTCTAATTTTCTGTTTCATATAAATTCTCTCATTTACATAGCATTTTACAAAATGACCAGATAGAATTCTAGTCGATGAAATAATAAAATTGATAGGACTGAAATTGCATCAATGTAAGACCAATGTTTTGTTTGGGCTCAATCTTAAGTATTAAAGTTATAATAGTAAGTGAAGGATGAAGCCTTCAGGTGTGCATTATGTCAGGCATAAACATTTTATGACAAATCTTCCATAAACTAGTTGGATACTTTTCATATTAATGATAAATTATTACATTATTTTCTGTAAATTACTATCAATATCAAATCTGACAGAATAAGGTGTCTAGTTGTTTCAAGATACTTAAATAACATGAACTTTGTTATTTGTATAAAGAATGCTAACAGGTTTTTACAATTATTTCAAGCTAATATTGTCTGAATTTCTACAAAAGAAATAAACTTGGTCTGGTTAAATTGGTAATATCATGACATCACGAGGAAAAAAACAAGATGGTACCGATTTTATTTTGTTCTTTAAAATATTTTTTTGACTATTAAAATGTAAGAAAGGAACGAATCACTGAGTCATTATAATTATGAAAATCAAAATTAGGTTTGTTTTTTTTTAAATGGATAAAATTTTTAGTTTTTATCTGAAACAAAATTTGCAGGATTTTGAAAAAAAAAATCAATTACAAGAGAAAATAGTTGAAATACAATTCAAATTTTAATGACTATAGTGAATCTTTGAAAGTTATTCAGGGAGATCATATCTAATGTATTCCCCAGGCAATTTTGTTGAATAATGAAAAACACTATCTAACATGCATGTTAACTGTTAAGTTTGCATGTACGAATACACATTTCACAAGGACATGTGTTAAGCCAGTTAGATGTATGAAATTAGGAGATAATAAACTTTATGTAGCATCTTTACTATCCCTCGTCCAGTTTAGCAGCATAAGTAAATAAATGCCAAAAAGGTGACAAGAAGTGTCAAATATAATGACAAGAAACACTTCTTGTTACCAAATTGATCCAGTATGACAATCATCTCATTCTTAAATAACCTTTTTTTAGCAAAGTCATCAGAAAGAAATATTTTGATCTTCTGAGATAGGGAAATCAAATGGGAAATTTAGGGGTTGAAGAAAAGAGAAAGAATTTTATGCCTTCATTATTTTTAAACATTACTTTAAAATTTTAGATTTAGATATTTGGTAAATTGCAATATTTATTATTAAACAAAAACATTTACACATGAAATATGAACAATGTCATGGTCTTTACTGGAGTCAATTTATAACTGTAAAAACAACTTCCGTTTTTAACTTAAGGTAGGGCTTAATAGCTGTAGCATTTTTTAATATTTTTTTTACAAAATTACAAATATAAATAAATTTATTAAAATACAAACAATGTATTGCATGAAAATACTTTATTATAACATACTTTATTTACATAATTATATAAACTATAAGCCTAGTCCAGCCTGACCTGGCCTATAAAAAGGAAAATTATCCAATACTGTATAATTCATTATTATTAATATATATCTGTACAGGTGATTTATCAAAACTGCTTATTTTTAATTTATATCCTAAACTGATCAGAAGACGAAATTAAATGCTGACCTGGCTTTGGAGAAAAAGATCTTCTCTATATACATATAAGTCTTTATTCCTGCAAGTTGGACTGGATCAGAAATAAAATCTGGGTAAGGCATCCTTTAGCCATAATGCAATGTCAATCATGTACCAGTCTACAATTAATTTTATTTACCTTTGATCTGGTTGGCCTGATCAGCCATGTTTGTTGTTCTCATTATGTCAAGGAGCTGGTTCTCAAAATTTGTGAACTTCATCGTGTCATTCGAGCTCCCTCTATCCTGAAATAATATGCAAGTTCGGAATGGAAATTTCATACAGTTTGTAAGGTTTTTCTAAAATAATTTTTTAGATGTAAAACATTGCTTGGCGCCAATGTATTTAATGTTACGCATAGAGCAAATTAGCCTGTCATTTCGGACACTAGTTGTTGATGTGGGCTATGCCACAGACCCACACCACTCAGCCACAAGATGATATACAATGACTGAAGCAAGTACATAAAATTATTGGCAGTAACTTTCATACTAATTTTTCCATCCATTTTTATAACTTTTGACAGTGAGAAAAGAAATTATACCAGTCGGAGTTAATGCATGTGACTGATGATTAAAATAATTACCCCTAACTCAGAATATTTGGGTCTACACTGGTGGCAAACAATTGTAATACAAAATTACAAAATTACCCAGAACCCCCCAAGGCTTATTGATATTTCACAAACAACAGATGGTAATCATCTAGAAAGTCTGGATCATGCACTTGCAATTTGGCACAATATTGGAATTCTCTTCATACCACAGATACTACAAGTTCATGCCCTTAATCTCAGAATGAAAACACTGAACATCACTTAAAGCTACTGTCAATGCTAACTGTTTGACTTTTTTTTGCTTTTAATTAAGCCAGAACAAAAATCTGAAACTTCACTCTGCCTTTTTTTTCTTTTTTTTTTAAACAACTTGTAAATAAAATCATGATAAAAGCACCTTTGTGGTTTGCAGTGCTTGCATCATTCCAGTGCAAAGAAATGTGTCTTATCTCCAGAATTCAATCTCAGATTATTTTCCATGAAATCTGAATCATGATTTTGAAGTACTTATACAAGTTTCTAAATTAATCTGAATTATTAAACACATATACTTTCATTTTGTGTTATGCTGCTACTACATAAAGTTAACATTTTTCTCAGAGTTACTCAGACTCTTGATTTGGAAGAGGCAAACTTACTGACTTGAGAAAGTAAAAGTTGACCAGTTTGGAATTGGATTTTTGGGAAAATACATGTTTTACAGAAAATTCTATTGAAAAGAAGCCTTTTGAAGACCTCTGTTATATAAGGTGAAAAAACCCTGGTATTATAATCCAAAAAAAATTAATGTAAAATTGCATAATCTGTATTTACATACATAATTAAAGTAGTGCAATACACATGCTACATCTATTACTGGACTTAGAGAGCATATGGTGAAAATTTCTTTCAGTAATAAAACTATGAATCCTTAATTAGAGGTTAACATATGCAGCTATTTCTTTGTGTACTTATAATACGTAATTAAGTCAGTACTTAGACTGCAATTTATAAAAGCTTAGAATGAATACCAAAGATGCAAAGATACAGTCATTTGAAAGTGAATGATCAATCATTTTTATACCTACAGGAATCTTCTCTCTTTTATTAACAAGCCAGTACACAAGATTTTTAAAGAACTGTTAAAACTTCAAAAAAATGCCTGAAAAACTATCTTTCATTCCATACTGTTTATTTCTACAAATAAAATGACAATTAATAATGCTTTGTGCTACAACATGGTGAAAAAAAAGAGAAGAAATAAGATTTATGAAAGTGTTAGCTACAACAGCTGCTGTGAGATCATTACATTATGCCTTAATTTCATTGATTTCCAATCCCTTTTCTCAAAGCATCAGGTGTTCAATAGGGAGTACAATTTCAAATCCTAATTTCCAAGAGAGATGTTAACAGCTTAAGCTTCTTTCACATTGTGTATGTAATATCTGAAAAAATCCCATTGTATTAAATACCAAAGGAGTTAATCAATAATAAAACAAACAAAACTTGTAAAAATATTCAAAATGTTACCTACAGGAACTCTGGGAGATGTTTTTGGACAACTATGTGAAAAAAGTTATAATAAAAAAATAAAGAAAAAGTATTAGCCTTAAAAGAAGAATTTCATTAGAAGTTTATATATATGCAATATTATTATAAAGTATCAGTATATTCTTTTTACATTCATGTTCAATTGTTGTTTGCTCTGTATATATAACATGTAAATTACTAACCTTAACTATTTGAAATAGATATGGAAAACAAATTTTCAGTAAGTCATGTAGTAGTCATCAAACTAATCATCCCCAAAAATATCGTAATTGAATGAATTGACTTATATTCAAACTTTTGAAGTACAAATACCTCCAATTTGGTGAGGTCTTAGGCCCTAGGTTCAAAACCAACAGCCAAGAGGGGAATCTATATTCTAAATAAATTTTTTAAGGAATGGGTAGAAAATAATATACTCTTAAATGAGAATACGGCCAAATTTTTCATCCTGAAAAAATCATCTATCTTAGGATTCGAAGTCATATCAATAAAAAAAAACATATTTTGATCACTTTGATCAGTCTTTTGCATAATACAGGGTTTTTTTTCACAGGTTGGGGAAGCAGCCTTGCCTTTACTTTTGGGGGAAAATTACATGGTATATTTGCAAAAGGGAAGGAAAAACTTGATGTAAATTCAATTTTTGGGGAAAATTGCATGATTTTTATGCATTGGCTAATTACTGGGGGTTTAGAAATCTAGATGGCAAATCCCCAGTATCCCCCCATTAATAAATGACTCATGTATAACCAGTCTCTAGTTTTTTGTTGTTTTTTTTTCAAAATAAGCCTTTTGTGTACCTAGAAATCAAAGAAAACTAACTCAGTAAATAATCAACAGTAATTTATAGAGTTGAACTCAAACAAACAAATCGGAACACATTTAGTTTAGCTGACCCCGGAAGATAAATAATAAAAGCAGTACACACTTGATTTTTGGAGGACTTTTGCCCCCACAGCCCCCAAATCTCCATTCTTTTACATGTTGATATGCAAAACTACAACAAAATTCAGAATAACACTTAGAAACAGAATAAAAAGCATAGTTACACTCATTTAGTTCTGGGGTCCGCTAAACCAGATTCTATCCGACAAATGGTTTAACCTAATTACTGCTCTTGGTCAGAGCATAAATATAACTTTATTAGCATTTATATACCTGATATGACATAAAATTTTCTCTCTGTACTTCATCAATTCCTACGTAATCAACATTTGGCTTGGCAAAGGTAGCTTGATGTATCTGGCTCGGGAAAGAGGTACTTCTGCGAAATTTGGACGGTGCAATGACTGAGAGTGTCTGCTGATTCTGTGGAAAACTTTTTATATTCTTCAATTGTGCAAATGCAGGAATGTTCATATTAGGTACAGATCTTCTTTGATGTTGATGATGCTGCTGCAACTGTGCTTGCGTCCAAGGAGACAATGTAGCGTGAGCTTGGCCATGGGCGTTACTCCACTGTGGATAATTTTTGGCATTATTTAAGATCATACCCTGCTGCATTGGCCTCTGTGGAAAGTTGTGCTGAGCCGTGATAGCTCTTCTCTGGCCCAAACTTTGAGATGAGATCTGAGCAGCTTGCATGATATTTCCAGCATTTACAAGAGCATTTGGTGGCAAGTGTGAAAAACTAACTGTCCCATTAATACTTTGAAATGCCCCCTGACTAAAGGTATCCTCTTGAGGGGGCGTCCAGAAGTTCTGGCTAACACTTGCCAAAGATGTGATCAACTGTGCATTTGCATCTATTGGCGATGAGGACGTATTTATAACATTTTCAACACTTTTGTCGTCGTTATTGTATATTGAGACATCTGACTGTCCATTTTTAACTACATTTTCTCCATTTTGATCCGAAATCTGGTTACATGAAGGTGAAAGTTGCTGCTGTTTAGCAGCCGACTTTTCCAACAGGATTTCATCTTGCATCGTACGAGGAGAATTTTCAGGTGAAAACAACGACTGATTATTTACAAACCGGTTAAAATCCACAGGTGAAAGTGACTGTAATCCTACACCGTATTCCCCCATTAGACAAAAAGTATTTAATAAAGCTGGGGGATAATATAAAAACACAGCTGTGTTGTTCTGCTTCGCCACGTCCTCCGCGCTGAACTGTGCTATCACTAAAAATAAGCTCTGAGCCAAAGTCGATGAAATTATATTTCTTAATTCTTTAAAAAATTATTGTCATCTCAAAATCATAAGGTGTAATAAATAAATGTTAATGTTTACTGATATTAAGATTCCACAAGTTTTACAAATGGTGAAAAATGATTATCTAATGACAGTAAATGTATAGCCTCTAAACTAATTTGCATAAATTATACCCCTACCAGGGCCTTTACGGCGAAGGGGGCGTGTTTGTTTATTTCAAACACGTGCTTTAATGCACATGGCGTATCGGATTGTGAAATAATGCGCGCACGACAATGATATTGTTTGATTTTATTAACCTGTCAATTCCATACTGATTATACGGTCAATACACAGAATATATTAATATTCGATAAATGATCGGTAAATTCCGTAAGATGTGCATGTAGTAAGATGTGATTAAATTCATCTTGTTATTTTGAATTAGTTACACTGACCGTTATAGTGCAATAGGGTAAACCACTGGTATATTTTATCTGAATGTTCAACGTGTTATAGGATCGAGACAGAGTATGGCCAGTATTTTTTATTCATAACTATTTTCAACATGTTTTTTAAGTTATGGTTGTTCCATTTTTAATTTGTTTTGCACCTTTTTGTAAATACTATACATTTGTATATAATAATGTTTAAGAATTAATACTGAAAATTCATTCCGATGAAAATCAATAAATGTAATTATACAATATGAAATGTGATCATTCAGTGTTTCTTAGTTGGTTCATATCCGTGTAGACAAATTGCAAGCGCTTGACCATTTTCATTAAAATATACTTAAAAATAAAGAAAGACTTAGTCTTAAAAGAATGTCAAAAAAGGGGATCGAACCTCGGACCCCTCATGCATTAGGTAATCACTTAACCGACTGTGCTATTGCGGATGTTACAAGAACCTAAATTAATCTAGTGAAAGTTTTCTAAACGTAAGTGATACACTCCATATTAATTCTCGTAAAATAAACGGAAAAAAACGAAGTGGGATCGAATGTGTAAATGAGTGCTATAATATATTCATAATTGACAGGTCAATAAAATCAGACTATAGCTCCTGGTTAATTAAAATTTAGCTCACCCATTTTTCAGTATATTTCCATTTGAAATAATTATTTAATAATGTCAACGTTTGGCGAACGTTTGGTATTCACACAATATCATATGTTAATATGTATATTAAACTTATAAGCCGTGATATTAATTTTAGCTGACTTTTAAGCATATCCTTCATACCAATATAATTTTGTTGATATTTATACATATTACAATAGTGGATTTTTTTAGTTGGACTATTTTCGAAATGTAAAAGGTCTACGGTAAAAGATATGGCAATGTAGCTATGGAAAAATGCTAATTAATGGTATGAGGAAAGAAAGAGTATTTATATGGTAGTCAGAGCTAGGAAACCTGTATTTGACTAAGGGTGCATATGTCTGGTTAACCTATGTGGGGCTTGGACATATGGCGGGAGATTATTATAACTGCAACTATATTATGGTATATCTTATAAAACACGATGAGTCGATCACCAGCCCAGTTCTTCCTGCATGACTGTGACACTGGAAAGAGGTACCAATCCTACACCGTTATTTACTGGGTTTACATTTTGGTCTTTCTTATAGACAGGGACAATGACGACATGCTTCCAATCATTGGGGGCGGGAGCATATTAAAGGGAGATTTGGAAGATGTGTATGAGATCAGGGGCTGTTTTAATGTGAAGTTCCTTTAGAAACTTCGAGGAGATTTGAACCTTTAAAGAGGTTCCTTACTCAATCCTCTGTTATGTTGACAATTAGCATTTTCCGATAGTTTTGTGGAGTAAGCAGTTGCTTGCATGACAGGGTAAGACAGAATCAAATTGTTTATTTGATATGTCTGCTTTGGTTTAAGGACCTATGAAAGTTTTACAACTATTTTTCATGCTCGGAAATGGAATCCCTGAAGTCAGGGACGAAAATATTACTGCATGTTTGTAATGGTAATCTTGTCGTCTATATAAACAATATACACGCCTGTTTTCAATTTATGAAGTACTTTACTTTTTTCTTTAAGAAGGGAATTTTGATATAACAAAGCCTTGTGGTCCGGGTTATATGTGCAAACAACCGTTTATTTAGGGCCATATACCCTGTCAATAATCATTATATATAAAATATATACTCTGCTGAAATCAGCTCGAATAATTAGCTGCGAACTTTTTTTAAAGAACAACCTTGGGCAAAGTTGAAAAGGATATTTTGTTTAAAAAAGGAACAATCGTCAATTTAGTTTAAACAATTAAGCACCACTACTGTTATGGATAAACTAGATATTGAAAGTATTCTTAATTTTTTTTTAAAATATGTGTTGAAATCACCTTTGACTTATCTGCCGTGCGAAATTTGTGCAAGACAAAATGAAAGTGGTAAGTTAATTTAATGTGAGTACATTGTACTACTGGTGTGAAAAGATAATGAAATGCTTGGAGGCTGGGAAAACATAAAAGTCTTTCCAGTTGGGAAATTGGGGGTATCAGTACGATCAATGTGCGTATAAGCATAAAACTGACATGTATAAGTTCTCTCAATATCTGAATTTCGAAAATGTAGAAAAACAAAATGTTGCGTTTGCTTTTATTATAATTTTAATATGTCTGAGTAATTAGCCAGTATGATTTATTTTGTGCCAATATCAGATTGATATCGGCGCATAACTGGAATAAAATGTAAAAAAAACCGGATACATTAAGAGTTAATTGGACTTAGAACAATGCTTCACATATACACTTTATAATTTTCAGAATGGTTCACTTTTATTATTATTATGACTTTTATTCAATATAAACGTATATGATAATGTGGTCAAAATAAGTGAAATACGTTCAATCAAACCGAGCCTGCAACATTTTCAATTTTGCCGTGTTGGGCTTTCTTTAGGGATTCTGTATTTATCTATTTTATCATAAGTAAAGTCTAGATATCAAATCTAAACAAATTGAGCTATAGTAATTGTATGACATATGTACACGAAACAGTACTTGAATATGTATGGTTATCTTGCATTACGTGTTCTCGATCATATTTTCTGAAGTTCAGTCAGTTTAAATCATATATTAGGTTTAACACCTCAGATACCCTTTTAAAATTACATTTTATTTAGTTCCGCCCATTATTTTCTCGTTTAGGGCACACGCATTCTTTTACTTGGGGATCATACGGCGCTTTTCATGGAATGACACTACTGTGTCACATTGAAGGTTCCATGATAACCGCCGTATGAACACATCTGCGGATGTTTCTAAATTCAAAATTTATCCATTTTAGTGTTTAAATGTTTAATTCTGCTTAAGCCGGTGCTAGCGTGGACGGTAACTTGCAATTTCCATTACCCTCCATGAACAGGCTGAATCAAACCGAGCCTGCAACATTTTACAATTTTGCCGTGTTGGGCTTTCTTTAGGGATTCTTTTTTTCACTATTTTAACATAATATTTTCGCGGTAGATATTTCTACCATATGTCTCTATATCTGTCACCATACAGAACAAAGTAATATTCATCTTCAATGTTCTTGCTGTTAAAAATTTTAACATTTTTTCAATATTCTTAATTTTATAAGCAGATATTGATATTACTTATTATTTGTCACGTAAGGAGCATATCCAAATCAGGATTAACATATTTGTATAATGTACACAATTAACATTTTTCAGTCATTCTTGTATCAAATTGTCAATAAAAGAGTACAATGTAGATGAATTGGGTTCTTTTATAAGAATTATCCTAGGCATATCCGAAGCCATATTTGTTTAAAAGCATTTTAAATGTAGACGACCGGCCAGTTTGATTTTTTTATTGTTACAATCTTGAAGACAATATAAATGCATATTTAATCAAAATGTGACACCTATCAGCATACGATATGTATTGTATTGTATATGTATTGTGTATTGTGTATTGTGTATCGTGTATTGTATTGTATTGTGGAGGTTATCTCCCAAGTTCACGACACACATCTGCATTATCATTACTCGTAGAGAGTTTAATTAGGAGATTTGAAAGCGTTATACAGTTTGTTTTACATAATATTAGGACTTTTGTCTATCTAAATCGCCGATAATATTTTACAAACGATGTTTTGGATTAGGCCAAAGAACGTTATTACTACATTCCATTAGCCATTCCATTAGCCATTGTAATAACAGAAAAGGGATTCTTAATGGGGGGAGGATAATGTCTTGTCAGCAAAACATTTAAACTTAAGCTGCTAAAATCGAATTGAACTGACTTTTTTCAAGCTTTATATATCCAGAACAGACTGTATACTGATGGTAGCTCAGTTTTTATGTTTGCTAATAAACTTCCTTAATTTTATAATAGACTGTTCCAAATTCAAGTCAGAACTAATTAAGTAAAAGTTCTAAAAGATTTAGTGTTGTTCAACTAAAGACGACAACGATTGAGAGTTCTCATTATTCGCTTGTGAATACACTGAACTTCCGTTACTTTGGGAAAACAGTAATTTACGAGAATTTGTTATTTATTTCTGTATTTTAAGAAATTGAGATACTTTATGAACGATAAGAATGCCCGTTTTTCTTTCCTCCATTGCATAGATTGTATATCAGGTAAAAAGAAACAAAAGTCGCCGTGTAAGTCGCACCCACCCATCCATAATTATATTTGACACTCGTGACCAGGCATATCAATGATAATTTTCGACTTGCCAAAGCTATATTCTGAGATATTTTTGATCAGAATCTCGCTTTTTGATGGGAGATATTGGCCTTAAACAAAATAACACTATATCATAACACTAATCGTAAGGAATTACAGTCAACCCGGCCCCAAGTTAACCCGGCCCCAAGTCAACCCGGCCTCAAAATTGGTCAACCCGGCCCCAAAATTAGTCAATCCGCCCCACAGTATTTTTATTTGGTCAATGCGGCCCCAAAATTGGTCAGTGCAGCCCCAAAATCGGTCATTCCGGCCCCAAAATATGTATTTTTCAAAGAAAACTATTCAGGTCATTTTGTTGTATGATGGAATAAAATTATTAATTGAATATTATTAACTATAGAACAATAGTAAAAAAAAAAACACGAACTGGCATAAAAGTGTCGGTAAATTTAATTGCGCCGATTAAGACTTTAATACGCAATAGTGATAATGAATAATTATATAACATCAACAATTATATGTAACTTAACATTATTTCAGATGTGATAATCAAACAGTTTAAAGTAATCAATTAAAAAAAAAGGTATAGCTGTGAAAACAAATCCTTTAAATTCGATGTAAATTAAAGATGGTTTCATAAGTGTTAATGCGATAATTAGGAAGAAATGCATAGAATTTCGAGTTAAAAGGTTTGTATAAATTAAGTTTACAACAATCTGTTTTTCAGTTCATTTGAATGTTTTTATTGGATATGTTCATCAGTATATTTAATATTTGTTTCGTATTTTATTAACTTATTTTCAAAGAATATTTACTGTGTAAAAAAGTTTTGGAATATTACTAAGTGTTTGACAAATTGATATTTTTTGTGTTTAATCATTTAATGTCATTATGACTGATAACTGTATTGATTGTGGATTTATTGTGCGTGACAGACAGGAGGCAGTGCTTGCGATACCTGTGGTAAAAACAGTAAACTATGCACGTGTTATATAAAATAAATATTAAAAGATATCCTCGTTAAACTTTTGTTGTTGTTTTGTTGTGAATTTTTATTTATTTCTTGATAAGTGTTTATATTTTAAAGCCAAAAAATAATAAAAAAGGGGCTGGGTTGACCAGAAATAACAATTGTTTGGGGCCGGGTTGACCAATTTGGGGGCGGGGCTGACTTGAGGCCGGGTTGACTTGTAACTATCGTAAGTTGTGATGCATACAGACTAGGCTTCCCCTCTATGTCTGGTGTCTTGTTGTCCACTGCGGTATTTCTCTATTTCAGTATATATCACCAAGTTTGAACCTTTTCCACTGCCGGTGTTTATCAAATTTTGATTTTTAACTCATTTCTTGGATAAAACTGCGATAGTTTACTAGGAAGTAGGTTCCATGATTTTACAACTTTATTTATTTAAGTGAAGGAATTTTGTCTAAAAAGTAATTTTTCTACTCTAATCGGTTCCCTCGAATTATGTCATACGAGGTATCGTGAAGCTCCTAAATGTGATGGTCGACTGCGTAATTGATGTTTCACAGTTAAAAAGGCAATTTTAATGACGTTATAACAATATTAAAATAATTGTTTTATTAAAAAGACACAATAATTAATTAAGACAAGGGTATTTGCAAATGCAAATAAGGTTAAATCAACATATGTTGTTCTGGTAAGGTTTCGTGACGGGTAGAATCCAAATCTTTAATGCTGCATCAGATGAAAAACAAAAATGTTAATAAGCAGCTTATAAAGTTTTGGAAACCAGAACTACCATTCGGCCACCCTTAAAAATAAATCTGTTTGCTATTGCCGACCCAGGGTCACAAGGAGTGGGTCAGTAGGTCGACTTTTAAAAACATATATAAATATATGATTTTCATGGAACATATTAAGGCTAAGTTGTAGCAGATTAATTGTGAAAATTTGGACATCATCATCAACAAAGACATATTCGCTAGTAATCATAACATGAAATAAAAAATAAAATGACTTTGTAGACATAAATTCAAGCAGTCAAATTACCAATGTTGTACAACTAATTCTGCGTAAGTATTCCTACCGATGTGCTACAACTAATTCTGCGTAAATATTCCTGAACAACCTGGAAAAAATATATTTAATTTTAGTACAACACGGCGGTATTTCAATGACAATTGTTGCGATATGATCTTGAAGATTGTGCAGCAATACTTGACACAAAGTCTGCTATCATATCAGTAATGCATTATGAATGGACCACACTTCCAAATATTTATTTGTCTGTCAATTTCATGGCAGACTCCCCGCTGCTACCAGAAATATTTAATTGGGGGGTGGGGGCCTAAGTAATTAATCTGTGTCGGCAGTCATAAACCAAAGCACATTAAAACTATCATGTGGTAAACTAATGACGATATAAAAGCTTTATAAATATTCATTAGTTGAACCCAATTTCCATGCCTCAATTTGATACGTTCTATATTCTATAATAAGTTAATTGACGCACCATGCAGTAACTGTGTGACGTAAGGAAAATCCCTACCCTTGTTGGTCGCTATTTATGTAAATACTTTAAATAGTAACATCCTAATTTTATTCACGGAATGCCTCATTAATGTTCAATCTTTACGATATTACACTTTACTTGCTAGTTTTCGTATTAAATGTGTGATTTTCCTTCCGATTTTATTTTTGTTTTCGAGTGCCCTGACTGATTTAGCGGAAATAAAAAAAAAACTTTTTTTTTTGAGTTAAAAATTTTTTTGAGTCTGGACATTTTTGGCTAGTCGGTCAGCAATAGCAAACAGATATATTTTTAAGAGTGGCCAATCTATATGAGTATTACTAATATGAGAATTTATGATGTAAGGAAGTAAACTTTTTACCTTAAACTATATAAAAATAGATCACTTCAGTAACTCTTTGAGTATTCTGTTTAAGAATTTGTGTAGACAAGTTAGTAATGAGTGTTATACTTTCGCTTTTGTTACGGTAAGCACTTACGGAAACATGTTTTTTTTCTTAAGTAGGTATTTTAAAAGCTTTGAGAGAGTGTCATGATTTGATCTATTTCATCATATATTAAACCTCACTCATTAAGCATCAATACTTATCTCAGGTAATGACAATGTGCCAGTCTTTACATCATTCAAAGTTGACCTTCTCAACAACAAAGTTATAGGTAATCTTTTTATCAGTGAACAAACTCATCAATGTGAAGTACTACTTATATTAAGGCGCGGTCACACAGACCTCCACGGGCGTATCGTGGCTGAATAACGGCCAAAAATTTCTGCCCGTGAAGCAGACGCTGTTGGGCGCTTTGAGGTCTCGATAAAGACACGATACAGCCGTACTTTAACTGTCGTTACACGCGGTAAGAAATTCTCACGCGGTTGGCCGCGCGAAAAAGTTTTGGGCTGCCCAAAAATTTAGACTGCGGGTAATCGCGGACGGTACACGTGCTAGGACGTGCTACGGCCGCGGTTAAGACGTGGTTACACACGGTAGGATGCGAAATTTTAGCGGGTAATAGCTGGTGGAGCACGGTCATAGCACGTTTGTTCCGCGTCTGTACCGCGTTGTTATCACATGCATTAGCGTGTGTACCGCAAGTAAGCACGGATAAACGCCTTTCTCCGCGTAAACAGCGTGCCCCAATACCGGCCTAATCACGTTCAAGCGCGATTTGCCGACCATCGTCTGTTGTGCGCCAGACATCAAGGGGTGAACATGGATCCCCGTCACCGTAATGACCTCGTCTTGCTGCAACTGCTGTCTTCGCCCTCGGCTTCTTGATCGCACACTGCTTCTTCTTCTTGGCCGGGGAACTCGATGTGGGCTTCTTCTTCGGTATCATAGCTTGATCTTCACGGGACTGTGTCTTGAGCGGTTATGATTTCTACAGCCCGGTTCGGCTGCTTTATTGTACCGCCGCGCTTCACCCACGATAAGGAAGACTGTTCCGCGTGCATACCACGGGTAAACTGCGGGTAAGCCAATTTTGCATATTTTCCACCACAGGCAACCGCGGGCAAAAAAAATCGTGAAATTTTACCCAAGATACAGACGCGAAAGGCTGTGTGACCTGGCCTTTACTTAGATTATAATGTACAATGTAATTAATCATTCCGAAGTGAGGGCAAGTCGTTATTAGGCGAAAACATTACCTTTTTGCCATACAGTTGAATTCGGTTGGTTTTGTTGAATCGAAGATACAATTAAAACATCCATTTTCCCTTGTGCAGATAGCTGATTTTATTAATGTTTTGTTACAAAAAATGGCATAGCATTATCAAAAAGCCTTGCAGAGTAAAAGAGTGTAGGCTTAAATGGTTAAGTTGTCTGCCTTTCAATCAAAGGATCCTGTGTTCAAAGCCCACTTGGTCGCAACAATGTTTCCTCATATGATGCAGTATTGGTTAGTTCAAGGAATTGGTGTAGAGAGGGCTTCAAATAAGCTATAAGCTTTCATCACAATTAAGCTAAAATAATGTGTTTTATAGTAAACTAATATGTTACGAATTGCTTTTCAGAAGGAAAATCCTCTTGTGGAAGTTACTGGAAAGGCCTTCGACTCCAATCATAAAAAGGAAATGGAAGTGCCATTACAGATTCATTGAAACTTAAGTTACAGTGAAACAAGTAAAATACAGTAAATCGGAAATATAAACTTTGTAACAAATCAATTCAACATGTCTCTAAGTAGGCACCAGGATGACCCAGATGATTCAAGGTAAGACGTCTTTTTTTGTATGTTTTGTTGAAGACTCCTTCTGCACTGCAATGTATTATCAAGAAGTTTTGCTTTTGGTCTTTTGTCCTCAGTGTTGTAGCCATTTGATCTCATCCTTGGCATATCTAAATGAGGGACACCGAGTTGCTCTGGATGGACTCTGTCGAGGCTCAGAGTCCAGCACTGAATTTCCCTGGAGGGATCCCAAAGATTCAACACCACATCGGGAAATACTGTTTGACCTATATGAATTCGATATTAAACATTGCCCTATTGTCCAAGACAACCAAAAGTTTTGTCAGAACACATGCACTTCCTTCCTTGTAAGACTAATCTAATTTCATCATAAGTTAATTTATTATATGGAAATAAATCTAGTTTTAGTGAATCAATTCTGTGATTCCAGAAAGTTTTGTCTAGACCTGAACTTGTTTGTACTGTGATGCAGTTGTAAAATGTTACCCTACACTGTCACTTCATCTTGCTTGTTTCTAGTCTTATTGTATTATCTTGATCCCTAGGGTAGTTCAGTCCAATATATTCACATTCACTACACCTGAAAATAAGTAAAATACTGATGTTTAACTTCCAGAAAATAAACAGAGCTTCTTCTTCTAAAGTACACTACGGCATATATGATTTGCACAAAGTACATGTATGATTGAGGGATAGACAATGTATTTATTTTAACAATTTATATATCGCCCCATTAAAGCAAAAAGGTACCAAGTGACATTTTCATGTTTTCGAGAAAATCGCGTTTAAAGATTTGAAGTTCCATATCAAATCAGGTTTTTACACCATGGCAAAGAAACTTCACATATATTTAGATAATATTTGAATGTACATGCTCAAAAAGTTGTAAAGCTTATATATTACTAATTAGTGATAATTAATCACTAAGGAAATTTACCCTCAGATGTACTGGTAACCAACCAACTTCCTCAAAATGAGCCCTCCCTATATGAGTACGGGGACTGAGATTAAGTATAAATCTCACCAACTTATTCTGTGTGGCCTGAAGTCTATTTTTTAGATTTTGACTCAACCCTAAATACCAGGAGGCACACGCATAATCAAAATGACATTGTACTAATGAAGAAACTAAAAGTTGTTTAGTATACCTATTTAAAAATGAACTTTTTCTATATAAAAACTTAAGTTTTGCATTGGCCTTCTTAATTACCTGGTTGGCTGTAGACTCACCAGATAGACATTGATCTAGGTCAGCACCTAAGTATTTAACAGATTTGGTGGATGTTATTGTAGTACCATTACATACAATATTTAGTTGATCACATGACCTAAGTCTTGGTTTAGACGCAAATAAAATAGACTCTGTCTTTCCAAGATGTAAGGAAAGTTTATTATCAGTGAGCCACTTACTCACACTGCTAAGATCATCAGTAAGCTGAGAGGTAATATACTGGATATCTTTACCTGATACTAAAATACCTGAGTCATCAGCATATAGAAGCAATTTATTACGAACCACAGCCTCCATATCATTAACATAAATCAAGAATAGGAGAGGGCCAAGGATCGAACCTTGGGGTACCCCACAAGTTACATTGGCGCTAGATGAAAGTACACCGGAGACATTGACCATTTGTGTACGGCTAGATAAGTAAGACCTAAACCAGTGAATAACATCACTAGAAAACCCCATAGCATCAAGTTTCATGAGTAAAATATCATGATCGACAGTGTCGAACGCTTTTTGTAAATCTAAAAGGACCATACCAACATAATTACCTTTATCCATTTCAAATTTAATGAAATCTGTAAGGTGTAAAAGGCAAGTGTCAGTAGAATATCTATGTCTAAAACCAGACTGATGGGTATAAAGTAGGTTTTTCTCTGATAAGTAACTCTCTACTTGGTCATAAATAATTCTCTCAAGGACCTTGGACACTACACTTAAAATAGACACTGGTCGATAATTACCAGGTTCAGTCTTATTATTTTTTTTATACAATGGAACAACACGGGCAGACTTGAGATCATCTGGAACAATACCAGTAATAATGGACAAATTAAGTATATGAGTAAGGGGTTCAGCAATGTTGTGAACACAATCCTTTATAAATCGCGCAGGTATACCATCCAAGCCTGTAGCTTTATTGGCCCCTAGTTTATTTAAGTACTTAATTACAGTTCTCTTAGTAACAACAGATAAAGAAAAACTGTTACGTACAACACCCTTTTTACTATAAAAATATAATATAAAGTTTCTTCCAAAATTATTCAAACTAGTAGGAAGTTTTTCAACTAGCATAACCCTTTTTTGTCCTGTTTGTTGGTTAAGTGGCATTATAATTATGGAACTCTTTTGGGATAATTTTCTTTGCACACAAAGAAACAAAGTCATTTTTCTTTTGAATAGAAACTGGCGGTTTGCTATCATAACTTCATGTCTTGTTCACCATTTGTCCAGTGATACTTTCTTTCTGTCTAGATTCTGTATTCTGAACTTCTATTTCCATAAAATCTTCAGCATTGAAGCTGTAATTTACAATTACTGACTTTGGGCTTTCCTTTGGTACCTGTATCTATTTCACCTGTAGCCAGTTTACTCTTTGTCGGTCTATGGATGTTTTGAGTCCCAGACAATGTTTCTTAATGAAGTATTTGAAATCAAAAACATGGTTATATTTCATTGGCACAGCAATGTATGGCTATGATTTTCTGGCCAGTGATATAAAAGAGAACACAACTGAATGATACATAATTATACAGGAATTATTTTCTTTGCCCCTTCAAGAGTCAAGTTGTCACTCCATCTGTGAGTGACCCGATACAATAAATTTGTGATGATCAATCTTAAACTTGGAACTTGTGTTAATATATAAGAAGAGACACAGCAAGGAATCAATTTCTGTTTTGGCCCCCGTATGAATCAGAAAAATAGATGACTTATTTGACATTGCCACTCTGGCAAGTAAAAAAGGGTTTTTTATTAAGCAGGAAGCTATTTCACATGCCTCTCTTTGCAGTTGGCTTTATCCCATACATGACATACAACATTTTTGTCTCATAAGGAATATACTGTCAAGTTGGGTAGCAACAGAGTTTTTCTTGAATAGTAAAGCTCACTCACCAATGAGCGAGGGGTTGTTTCAAAGTTTTGAGATCAAAACATGCAACATAAACATGCAACATAAAGCATGTGTCACCTTTTGCTCCAACTTTTTTTTTAACCTTTTCTTCTTGTGAATTTTCTTTTGTTTTGATGTTCAATATATTGTTCCTTGATGTGCCTACTGCCTTCCTGTATATATGTTGCTTTTATTTCTTTCATTTCACATTCAATAGATTACAGTGTCCACATCTTTTTAATGTTTAAGTCATAGTCATGAGATAGGTATTGTTTCTTTCAGTAATTTTTCTTGTATAATGATATTTTATTTTAGGAAATTACTCTTTATGCTGTTTCACCAATTTAACTGTATCATAATCTAGTTTATTTGCAGATGTACGCTTCCATGTCATGTTTCTCCTACCATATAACCCATGTATCTTGTTGGCAAGAGTATAGTCAATTACTTTTCTTTTTATGTCCACGTTTTTGTGAAGAAGTCATTTATACACTATCATTATCTTCACACTGTTATCATTCCTCAATTTAAAACAGAAACAATACTCTGGGATATATTGTTATATTTGATGTCCTTATCAACATCTAGATTGTGTATTCATTAAAAAGCTAAAAGGTACCAAGCAAACAATTTAATATATAAAATAATCTTAAGGGTCGTAAATTCTTTGTGTGCAGAAAGGGACCATGTGACACATGGTTCCTTTTTGCATTAAAATAAGTGCTCAAAACTTATATAGTCATTCAATGCAAAAAGGTACTATGTGACACTTGGTACCTTTTTGCTCAAACTGGTATACATATGGTACCTTTTTGCATTACTAAATGGGAAAATATTGACATTGTACCTTTTTACATAACCTTATATGTCTGTAAATAAACATGATACTACCTAGATATTTCTACAGATTAAAGATAACATTAAAACATAATGAAAAATGTTAAAAGGTCATTTTTGGCCAAAATGTCGCTTGGTACCTTTTTGCTTTAATGGGGCGAATTATATAAATAAATCACAATATATTAAACTATATTGTAAGATATATACATGTAGTTTTGAGGGGAAGGCTTCAAATGCTAAACTCTATGTGTGTTTATAGTGATGATGCCAGGCATATGCCTCCAGTAACTTAGAACTTAGTGGTCTTCAAGACCATGTAATTTGGCCTTCGTAGCTATGTAATTTAACTACGCCTTTAATACATACATTTAGGCTGCTTAATTATATATTTTGACATGAAGGGCCATATTAATAACATTAGATTCAGTTCATTTTAATGCAAATTCATTTTGAAAAGAGTTATTATTTAGAATAGTGATTTATAGTGCATATTAAATGTTACTTGACATTTCTAGATAACCCATTGCTAAATTGTTTTGCATTAAAGATCATGTTGGGTGTGTTTTGCCACGGATGAAGATGATCGCACTGCCATGTGGGTAAAACCCTGCCGGTGTCGTGGCACAACTATGTGGGTACATCAGAACTGTCTTCAGCGGTGGATCGATGAAAAACAGAAGGGAAATAGTAATGCCAAAGTGGCATGCCCCCAGTGCAATACTGAATATATCATCATATTTCCTAAATTAGGTATGTGCGATACTAAATTATCATCATGTTTCCTAAACTAGTTATGTACAATACTGAATATGCGGAATACATTTTTTGTATGTCATTGTATTTCCGGAACTAGTTATGTGCAATACATTTCCTTAAGTTGTTATGTGCAATACTGAATATATTTCCTAGCTTTGTTATGTGCAATACTGAATATATCATTGTATTTCCATAACTAGGTATGTGCAATACTAAATATATAACAAAGTATGTGTAATACTAAATTTATCATCATATTTCTTAATCTAGGTATGTGCAATACAAAATTTACCTTCATATTTCCTAAACTAGTTATGAGCAATACGGAATAAATAATGTAGTTCATAAACGTCATGGTACATGTATGTGCAATACTGAATATATCATCTTACATTTGTATTTCCTAAACAAAGTATGCGCAATATTATATGGAATATATAGTTTTTGAATTTTTCTGCATTGCATGGATTTAACCTTTGGGTTGGTTTTGGGGTATTTGGGGTCAAGGTCACTGAATATTAAAAGATTTTTTATATACTTCTCTTAATACAGCCTTAATTTTATAGACTGATATCCCAGATGTATTAAGTATTTAGTTACCTTGCATATACATCTATACTTTGGTGTGATTTTGAAGTTGATAGGGGTCATGGTCACTAGAGCAAAAAATTGAATCTTGCACATCTTCTACTTTGATGGGATTTGAAGTTGATAAGGGTCAAGGTCAAGGTCACTAGAGCAAAGAATAATGAATTTTGCGCATTGAGATATACTTCTGTATTTAGCTGTGTTATAATGGCATATGTGAACATCTGTAAGTGACATCAATATTCTTGTTATATCCTTAAATGGTTTTATGATACATGAAATCATGCAAGATTGTCATATCATTTAAATTGAGATGAAACCTTACAGAAACTATTTTGATTAATATATTTTACATATAATGTTACTGTAAACTACATGTTCTTGGTTATTGATTAAAAGACCCTTGTATTCACCAAAAGGTCATGTTTCTGTAAAATTAAAACTTTAAAGTGTAATACATGTAATAATTTATTGTGTTATATCCCTATCTTGTATATTTTATATGTTTTCCAGGTACTTTGATATCAATAATGGAGCCATTAGACCGATTGATCAACAAGACCTGTCCATTTGTAGCTGGTGGTATATTTATAGGTTCATTATACTGGACGATGGTCACTTATGGTGCTGTAACAGTCATGCAGGTAATTTTCCAGACCAGTATTTATTCTTGGTGTGTCTTTTCTTATGTGCCTAATTGCCATTTGGATACAAGAGTCTTCTTAAGATCCTTTTTTTAGCTCACCTGAGCACACAAAGTGTTCAAGGTGAGCTGTTGTGAACTTGTGATCACCCTGTTACAGACATTCATTTATAGAGCTACAAATTTTGCTCAAATGGTTCTGGTTTGCTGAAAAGATGCCCAAGTGAGCTAAAAATAGAAATAAGTTTTAAATGACACCTCCTCAGTCGGTAAGTAGATTTTGATGAAACTTTACAGAAATGATTCTAAAGGTGGTCTTTTACTAAAATTCTAAAATTGTTAATATTTGCTAAACAAAATAGCCTTCAGAGCTTAAAATAGAAATATCTTTATCTTAACCACTTGGCAGATTTTAATGAAACTGTACATCAGCAATCATCATTAGGTAGTTCTTAAAATCGTTTTGCTGAACAAGATGGCCGCCATATCGAAAAAATAAAAATCAAGTTGAGATTTTGTGATCATTGTGTCTGGAGTTTGTCCTTATACATGTATGTATTGAGAGCAACAACTTTGAAATTCAAACTAAAATAATATGAACAGTCACATTTTCAGACGCAGAATTTAATTTTGAAATCTTTTGAGCTAGATTTTGACATTCTGACCTACTTCCTTAGGTTTGGAGGTACTGCTTTGAAATTCGGACCTTTTAAACAATTTGACATGCAATTGTCTGCTATATATTAATTCATTGCATGTATTTCTCAGAAAAGTCTATACAATAAACTAGGGATGGCAACAAGTACTGATTTCAGTATATGAGTACTCGGTCATTCTTTTGATTGACCTCTTGGTTACTTGAAAGATTTGTCTTAGGACTTTGAAAATTTATAACCATTTTCCATCTACATATTTATGTCAAACCAGTCATGAGAATGGAGACAATTATTTATTTTCAAAAATAAAAAAAAATTGTTAATTTAAGTGTAATGAAGTGAATTATGGTTTCAAGTTTCCATAAGGCATGAAAACGAACATTTATGTATTATTTGTTAAATAATTATTTTTTTATTTATTTTTTTTTTCTGAATGTTTAATTTATTTCCATGGTTTCACACAAAGATACTCCACGGTCTCCTGTATCAGTCAACTTTATTTACTTACAGATTACATCTGCCTCAGCAATTCCTAGAGAATAACATGAACTTTTAATTGGTTAATTGCTGTTTGTTTTCACCTGGCAGGATTATATGCTTAAAAAGAATTTGTTTGAACTGTTATTGAATATGCTTGCTTTGGGTTATTGTCAAGAGCTCATTACACGCTGTATAAATGTTGATTGATTGAAAACAAAACAGAGTGATGACTGATTGATTGATAGAATCAATAATGAATTGATTAATGGAATGAATTGTTGGTTAAATAAATACCAATCAAGCAGGGATGTTATTGTAATTCTGTATAGTTTATATTGTTAATTTATTGACATTTTAATTCTCCTTGTGATGATACAATCAAGGTCACATGATTGACCTTTAACCCTGCTTAATTTGCATAATGGGCTTGTCTTACATTAAATAGTATAAAATTAAGGGATTTAGATACAATGCATAAAAGATATTGTTGGGTTTCCAAGATTTGCCCTGCCCTAGATTTTACACAATTTCTGTTTATGTCCAGTTGTCTTAAAACAGCTATTGTCAATATAATTGTTATTAAATGATAAAAGTTTTTGAATATTATTAAATGATAAAAAGTTTGTTAATATTGTTTCATTTAATGTTATATAAAACTCAAAGAGTGATATAAAGTCTTAAGATTTTTTTAATGAGACACATAATAAAGGAAAACAACTGGAATTTTTTTTTTAATCATCAAAGAACTTTTATGCACATGTATCTGCAAAATATAATTTTGAATTACTAGAAATACAGCTCATCAAATTTGCAATGTCAAAAATTTTTAGGGTAACAAATCATGGCCAACCGTGGATTATAAAGTTCATCAGCCACGTGCTACCAGGGTGCCAGGATGTGCAAGCTAGTCTTGACTTTATAATGTTGGCATAAGCAAAAAGTCAATGTTGCTGCCATTTGAAAGATTTCAGATTCAAAGTGTAGTACAAATTTAGTGGTGTACGGTTTAACAACAAAGTGAGTCAGTGCCAGATATAGTAAAAAAACATGGCTTAAAGTTTTCAGGAATTTTTTCTCAAGTTAAGGATTTTAATACTCCATAAAGCCCCCCCCCCCCTCCCCCTTTACCTTCCCCTGACCCGACTTTCTGTATAATACACAAGTCTGGGATCTAGGATGTGTATTCTGGTATGGATGAAAGTAGATGAAAAAAATGTTGTTGTTTTTTTACCTTTTGAGTTTCCAGGATTTTTTGCTTTTTTTAACTTCTTTCCATTAAACAAAAGTTTTGATTCATATGAAAGAAGGGATTTATAATAAGTAATAGTAATTACTACAAACTTTTACTGACAACCCAATAGCATAAAATTTGAAACAGGGCAATCAAGGTGTATTGATTTCTGACATAGAAAAGGTGTTAATACTTAATTATGCAGCACATAAGACATCTGTTACATGAAATCTGTTACACCTAGCACCTACTTTGTCAACAGGAGGCACTTTTACATGTTTTTCTTTGTTTTCCATACTAGTGAATGCTTTTTTGTTAACCAACTTTTGATGATTTTGCATAAATGTGTTATGAACTCATAATTTTTTTTATGGTATTTATATTAAAAGTCCAATTTATTTTAAAACTTGTTATATTTTCATTGTAAAAAATAATCAAAAAACATTTACTGATGGTTCAAGAACAAAAATTATTCAGAATGGACATTTGGTTTTGTCTCTTTTAAATGATTGACATGTCGCAGGGTGAGAAAGATGTGCAGCCTGACCAGGACCATGGCTTTACCACCTGAGCTATCTAGCCGCTTACACATCTTCTCCCCTAAAAAGTGAACAGTTCTGAACCTTGCGGACATAAGTCCATTTTAAATATTTAGCATGGCAAAGGATTAAATTAGATACAGTGTTAAAGACTAAGCCAAATTTAAGAAAAAAAGTCTCAAGAACCAAATTTAATTAAGGACCTTTTAAGATCAAACAGATAATACTCTGTGCTTGTAACAAAATATGTGCATGGATATACCCAAAAACATCAAGGAAAACACAGAAATTATTGAAGTTTTCATCTATCTATCTTTATGTAACTGTTATCGGCATCACAGAATATTTTATCAAATTGGTCGTAAAACTATATTATACTCATATCTGCCTGGTATAGTAAGTCATTAGTGTTATTTTATTACCCAAATATAGATTTCTGGGTGTAGCGGAATTGTGTTCTAGTCACCTAATGAGCCATTTATTCAGGATTGAGGGCAGTGTTCTAACTTTTAATCAATATATGAACCGCGTCATGACAAAACCAACATAATGGGTTTGCGACCAGCATGGATCCAGACAAGCCTGCGCATCCATGCAGTCTGATCAGGATCCATGCTGTTTGTTTACAAACTCTAGTAGAGAAACTGATAGCGAACAGCATGGATCCTGATCAGACTGTGTGGATGAGCAGGCTGGTCTGGATCCATGCTGGTTCGCAAGCGCATTATGTTGGTTTTGTCATGACGCGGCTCATTATATTATATTCTCAGATGGGTATCATAGGAATATTCCATCAAAACAAAAATCAATTTCTTATAATGATTTTTTTTTCATAATTTTATATGGCAATTCAAAGTTCTGAATGGATATTTACAATACATAATTATGCATAATATACATGTATATATTTATAGCTATTTTGAAAATGAAATTTTAGTTTCTTCTATGCATGTAAATATATTTATGGAATAAATAAAACAGTATCTTCCAGTTATGAATATTCATAGAATATTTATATAGAACGGATCAATATGCATGAGAATGCATAATGAAAACATCTGTTGCAGAATATTGATTAGGTGTGTTTCAGATATGCATTGCCAGGGCAGTATTGACATCTGTTATGAGAAGAATATAGACAGAGAACAATAATTAAAAGTGTCATGATTGAAGGGAAGATAATAACGCTTATTGATCAGTCGGGAAATATATAGCAAAATGGCATTTTATAGAGATGATTTATGGTCTCTTATTGGTGTAATCATTGATGGATTTAGTAAAAAAATGGAGGCCACTTTGCTATCAAAGAACTTCTCAGAAATTAGCTGTCATTAGCTTTTGATTAGAGCTTTCATTCAGTTGTCAGAAATTCATTAAAAAGTAGATTATAAGGAGGTTAGAATTTCAATAAGAATAAACAAAAAATAATGAAAATTTTAATAAAAATGGCTTCGTATTTCTAAAAAAGAACGAAAGATGATTTTTTTTTCTCCTTCCCTTCTTAAAAAACAATATATTAATTCAAGATGAAACAAGCATTTGATGTTATTATTACATTTCTTTTTCTCTCAGAATTCGACAAACTAAAAGTGCTCCCATCATCGGGTTTTCATATGTTGTTTTTTTTCCATCAAACTTGTAACTATTCTCCGTGTTCTTTACCCTGCCAACTACTACTGTAAAATAATAATCTAGTTTCCTTATTGTTTATTATATAAGGTAATGTGAGACCATAAAATTATGCATGTTCATGTACTTTATACATTAAATTTTTAATTGGAGAAAAAACAATGTTTTTTTTTTTTTTTGGTGTTGAAATTCTTTTTATAAACTCTTCGCATGACATCCACAAAGTATATTAATTTGCCCCTTTATTTAAGGAAAATAACAATTTGACTTTTGGGAGGGCAAGAAAAGCCAAATTATGCAGTTCCAGCTAATGCTGATGCTAATGCTACTGTAAAGCTAATAATGCTATTTAAAGAAAAGCTACATGTATATGATTTTTTTGAGATAAAACTGCATTTTAAGCAGTCAAAAAAAAGGGTGGAACCTGGTTGCATGGGTAGAGTCTGTTGCCACTTGTAGGCTTAAAGTTATATTATAAAGGTATGATAAAAAGAAGAAGAGGAAGGTTGTTAATTTATGCAGTTGCACAAACTGACAAAGCTATCCATGACTAGCTTTTGTTTATACATGTACCGCTAGTATAGTGTCAAACTATCTGGCACTAATAATGAAGTCTGACCACCCTTTGTATTGTAATCCCCTATAGTAGCAATGGACTGGCCCAAACAAAAAGCAAGGCAAGGCCATTATAGTTATTTAGCAAGGTAAGGTAGGTGCAAATCATGATAATGATAATTTGATTGGTCTTGTATGTCTATAGTTATTATCTGGTATGCCTGTACTCTATGGTATGTTGTTTATCCATGGCTGGATTCTACTTGTCTGAAAGCTGAAAGTTTTTGGCCTATGTTCATAATAATAAATGTCTAATCATAGTCTTACTCTATTAATGAATCACTTATTGTGTACTGGTGTAAACTGGTAGTTAAATTTCTACTGTGCAGTGGTTGGTGTATGGTTTTTAGCTAGCTCTATCTGCTATTGGTAATGTAGGGGAATATGTTTATTGTATTCTGGTGTCTTTATAAATATAAAGGCAAGTGTGCTATATATCCAGCTATCTTACGGAATGTCGTTGGTTCTACTTAGTTGCCCATTTGTGCGTAAAATAATGCATTGAAAGTCACCTGAGGTCTTCCTTCACCAGTAAAGCTGGAAAGTCACCATATGGCCTTTATTGTGTTAGTGTGACTTAAGGCTTAAAATTTAACGTAAAAACTGCCTTCATTTCATAAAATTTTGTAAAAAAGGTTGAAATCCCTTTCTTTTGAATCTGACATTATTTAGAATAAGATCTATTTCTCACATGATGTTTCATGTTTTCAGTCTGAAATAACTTTTCTGTGGTTTCTTTATATGAGCCGCGTCACGACAAAATAAGGTAATGCGTTTGCGACCAGCAAGGATCCAGACCAGCCTGCGCATACGTGCAGTCTGATCAGGATCCATGCTGTTCGCTTACAAACCCTATTACAAGTAGAGAAAGTGATTGCGAACAGCATAGATGCTGATCAGACTGCGGGGATGCGCAGGCTGGTCTGGATCCATGCTGGTTGCAAACCCATTATGTTGGTTTTGTCGTGACGTGGCTCATATAATTGTGAGATCAAATGGTGGTTGAAAACAGAGAATTGTTCACCTTTTCATAAAATCAAAAAACTTTGCCCATTTGTAGTTCAAAGTATTTAAAGTACTTAATATAGGCTATGGACCCTATTTGAAAAATTCAAAATGGCCACCATTTTTTAAGATGGCTGCCAACATGTCCTAAAATCAAGAAAATGTTCGGTTGTTGACTGTTTTTGGTGATACTTAATAATACAAATGGAATATTACAATATTCTATTAGCCATTGATTGGATATTGAAACCTAAATACATGAATAGGATAAATATGTTATTGAGATATTTTATTATGACACATGTTAAGCCCTTACCATACTAAATAATCTTCATGTAGACCTGTGTCCATTTGGACAAAACTTTTATGGAAAATATATAAATATCTACTAAATAATAATAGCATACAGCGCAGATCATGACCAGACGGCACATTAATGTCTATTGCCTAACATTAAACTTGTCTTTATAATTTTTTCCTAGGCTTTATTTAGTTTTAGTTTGAGTCTCTATGAAATAAAATCACAACTCTTTGATAATCTTGTATATGTGTAATCATTAGCAATATTTAGTTTACTAGGTGCATGAATCTTTGCAAGTAATAAATTGAATATGTCATCTTTCTTTAAAAAGTGCACTAATGTAAGTTCAATATTTTGTCGACAAAAAGTATTTCTGTGGCATTATATTGTCGTACAAAAGTTGAATAGGTGTCTCGGCAATCCTTTAAACATTTGCTGGAACGCTCCTAGTGATCATTTCTATTGTCAGTTGACAAACTTGCCATTATATGATACCTCACTGACATGCCCATATCAGACAATCCTGTGGTTATTTATAGAATCTACTGAAACTTTAAATCTGCGAGTGATTGCATCCGCATAAGAACTTAAAAAAAATTCTGAGTCTTCTGGAAAATTAATGGTTTTTGCCATTCATAGACATGAATTCTTTTTAGTCCAGTCATTCTAGCCCGAAAATGGCCAAAGGTAGAAAAAATTGCAAAAGAATTTATTTGCATGTTTTTAAGTATTTTTATATGTGTAGAATAACGTGATAAGGGTTTAAACTGTTTTGCTTTGGCGGAAAACACTCAAATATTTGAAATAAAACATGCCTTAAACTTTTGCTAGAATTAGACTGAATTGACAGAGCTGGTTTAATTTTTCTATGTTTTTCCGTTTAAATTGTTCGTTTCATTGTTTTTGAGCCATTAAAGACAAAACATGTTTGTAGAAACTTGTGGTTTCATAAACTTGGCCATTTTTTTTATATTTAGATCATATTTGTCATATGTCGGGGGTAAAATATTACCCCACCCACTTTTTCAGCAAAAGACAACACGTTCTCAAGTTTTTTACTTTTAAGATTTACTCATTGAAAACATATCATTCAGTTGATGTATCTAAGTGTTATTCTTGAAAGTAATAATAAACAATAAAGAAACTAACTTTCAACCATTTTACTTACATTCATGACAAAAGGGTAGATAATTTACTCCACCTATTTTCAAAAAGAAATATTACAATAATTAAAATTACAAAATGACATACATTATTCAAATCTCTATTGTACACAAAATATATATCTTTTAGACTTGTTCCCAATTGATTTCAAAGTTCAATTTATTTTTTAAAGCTTCCATTTTTGATTTTATATCAAATGAAATTCATATACATATATATCTGCAAATAACCGTCAATTATATAGATAATTTTGGTCGCTAAAATTAAAAGCTACAATTCAAATTAGTTACATTTTGTTTTGTCAAAAGGCTATTACACAATCAAGGTATATGGACTATAAATGAACGTGGTCAATACAGAAACTGTTATTTTTACAGAACCAGGATTTGGTAGGTATGTAACGAAATTGATTCGTTATGAAATACGATAGCATTATAACATACATATGAGTAGATTTATCATTATAAGTGAGACTTAAATATTTCAACAACAGCTACAAAATAAATATATTAAATAAGCACTTGTATGCTTATAAATTACTAGAATGCCATCAAGATTCCCAATAACAATATCAGAACCAAAGTGTTCTATAAGCTTATTTTTCATATGTTTTGCAGTATAAGACTTGTCACCACAAAGTTCGGTCATTTTTTTGACAAGATCACTCACTGAAATGACTTTACCTTCAGATGTTTCGACATAACGCACAAGTTCATCAAATGCCAATTGTTGATCTCTATTGATAGGTCTCCCCGGACTTTTTGCACTAAGTTTTGGGCGTTTACTTGTATTTGATTGGTATTTCATAGGTATGTCTTTTCCAGTCCTGAAGTTTGTATTGCATATTTGATGATAAACTGCATCAGCAGCAGGCAGATCAATAATGTGTTCTATTCGCCCAAGCACAGCAATACCCCACAAGTCATTTCTCTCTTTACATTTCCGAATAATTGTATCTTGAAAATCTAAAGTTTTAACATCCCACACATCACCACCCCTTTTCTTTTTGTTTGATTTAGCATAATTTGTGCAGAATAAGCAGTCAGATTTTATATTAAAGTTCTCTTCTGATCTCAAACGTCTGCTGTTCTCTTGGTCATCCATCATGTTGTGCCCTACAACATAAATTGAAATATTAAACCTATCTACATAAGAGTTGATTAAAGACCGAATTAATATAAAGTATTTGCTTGTGTGGCACCAGTAAAAAATCACCATCGGTTTTGAATCATTTTTGTTACATTTTTAGTTCTTTGTGATGAAATGTTTTTTATCATATTATTTAGCTATGTACTGTACATGCAAGATGGCGTGAATTGTGTTGATATTATATAACCAATCGTTCACAGTCCCAATCAAATGGGGTCTGTTATTGTTTTGCTTTTATAATGTCCTTAGAAGGCATATTTTTTCATATCATAATAGAATGTCTATTTGTTAGTAGTCATTGGTTTAAAATTATTTAATAACGTAAAATAATAGAGCATACCATGAACATGAATGTAGAAGGCAAACGCTTTTAGATCTGCTTGTCTTGCCAAAGATTTTACATGATTTTACACACTATGTCTGAAAAAACAAAACAAACAAAGCATATAGAACCCAGAATCTGGTTTTCTTTAAATAATAATAATAATAATAATAATAATAATAATAATAATAATAATAATTTTCTTTAATTGTATAAACATTAACCTTTATGATAGAGATAGATAAAGAGTTGCTAAAAGCTACACCTATAGCTTAAGTTTAATTGTTATATATATTCACCGACAATAAATGGATATTGACGGGAGCTGGCTGCCAAATTGGGGTTGCATTTTATGGGAACAACTCGTTAGCAGTCCCAATCAAAACAAATTTGCTATTCTTTTTTGCATGTTTTGCTTTGCTTACTTGTCATTTTCAATGTTTGTTTTATGATACAGAGCAATTATTTTATTCTGAAAACACATCACATACCTTTTATTCAATTGAAATATGATCTGACCTCAGATAATACTACACATGAATTGACTGCTTTATCAATACATTGTAACACCTCATTAGAACCAATCAGGTTGATATTTCTGCAAAATACAATAAATGGTATCAGGAGTAGTTAATTATAATTTTTTATTTAATTTCATAGACAATAGCACACGTTAAAAATCTAACCAAAACACACACTTACCACTGCTTTAAGTTCCTACAGTTCAGCCCACACCTTCATTTCTCAAATTCACATGTCTTTTACCTGAGAGAAAAAATACTTTTATTACTTTTATTTTTATACAGTGGCTTGGTATTATTTTTTACTTTTTTTCTTTTTATATTAAGCTTTCATATCCACGAAAATAGTTTACTACACATAAAAGTATATAAATAATTATAAAATGACAGCGAAAGCATGAGAATATAACTAACTGAATAGTATTATATAACTTAATATTGTACATTGGTAACATTATTAAAGTATCTATTTTACCTTTAAACGTTTACATGCACGTAACGAACCAGCTTCAAGTTAAATACTTCTCCTGCAAACTTATTTCACTGGTACAGTAAGGTCAATCTAAAATGAAACAAATAAAAAAGTACTTTAAACTTATTCATTTAACATGCATTATAGACTTATTTAGCCAAAGCTTTGTCATAAATCGCCCAAAAAAAAAATTTAAGATTTTTTTCTAAATTTCCGAATTTTGACCCAAACACGCTTCCGTAGTTTAATTTTTTGTGCAGACTTTTATTTACCGGTTATATAAAAAATGATTTTATACACAGGAATAACATATATTTTATATAAAATAATTGATCATCTGCTTTTAACAAATGTATAGGGCCAAAAAGAGATATTTAACCTTCATTTGATGCATAATTATCATGTATTGTTCATTTCTCTGCTGTAAACTCGATTTTGGCTTAAATATCAAAGGTTTTAAACATTGTTTAATGTTGAATTTCAAAATTTATAGGAATTATTACAAAAGATAACTTACTTTCTTTGATATTCCTAGTAAATGCTTAACATCACACCAATTGTTACTGAAAAAACACACCGGCCAGTCAACGCATCCGCCATTTTATATGATTTCACGTCACTTAATGACGTCATATACACAGAAAGCACCTGAATGGTGTACTATACAGGACATCTTCAAAATGTATTATTTTCGCCATTTTCATTGTTGGATTTTTACACTTTCCCCATTGAAATGAGGCTTAAAAATAACATTGTGTCTTAATTAGGCATTGCTACGTACGATGCACAAGGAATTAATTCTTTTGCAATTTTTTCTAGGTTATAAATAGAATGACTGGACTATTTGTATACATGTATTTTATGATTATGAAGTGCATTTATACTGAAAATTATCACTGGTTGAGGTAATATTTGATATTAATTATATGAGGCTATATTGTAACTATATTGTACAAAAAATAAAGCTAAATGTTTTATTAGATCATGCAAATATTTTTTTGTCTGTTTGTCCTTTCGTTACAACACTTTCAGTTCCTTATAGCAACTTCATTTACTGACTGATAATTTTTGTATGCTTGTATGGTATGCTTATAAGTCAATGGACTTATAAACTTGATTGACCTTCCATGGACTTATACCTTTAGATGACATTCCAAAGACTTCTACCCTCTGGTGACTGTTTATTGACCTCTAACCTTGGTTGACCTTCCATGGCCATCTAACCTTAATTGACTTTCCATGGACTTTTACCCTTGGTTGACCTTCAATGGACTTCAATCATTGTTTGACATTCCATGTACTCACTCCTTTGGTGTTGACCTTCCATGTACCTCTTCCTGTGGGTGACCTTCCATGGACTTGAACCTTCAGGTAGCTTCATTGAATAACTAACCTTAATTGACCTTCCATGGACTTTTACCCTTGGTTGACCATCCATTGACCTCTCTACCCTTGGTTAACCATCCTTGGATTTCTACCCTTTGTTGACCTTCCATAGACTTCTACCTTTGGTTGATCATTCATGGACCTGCTGTTGGTGTTGACCTTACATGGACCTCTTTCTTTGGGTGACCATCCATGGACTTTTACCTTCAGGTGACATTCCATGGACATCTAAGCTTGGTTAACCTTCCATGGACTTCTTACCTTGGATGGTCTCCCATGGATCTCCACTCTTTGGTGGCCTTCCATGGACCTGTAACCTTGGTTAACCTTCCCTGGACCTTTGCCTTTTGGTAACCTTTCATATACCTCCACCTTTTGGTGACCTTCCATAGACATTCGCTCTTGGGTTGTCTTCCATGGACCTCTACCCTTTGGCTGAGTTTCAGGTTGATCAGCTCAATGTCAAAGATAATTAGATTAACAATAGATTTTCTTACTTTTCTTATATCATGCTTTTTTTTAATTTTTCAAAGAAACATCAGGGAGTGCTACCAATGTTCCTGTCTGTATCTCAGAGCTGTCTACAAGTAACTTGAAACATTTTACAAATCTATTTTCATAAATCTGTCCGTTGTTTTTTTTTGTCTCGAAATAAAAGGTCCTGCTTTTTATTGACAAGACCTAGACTGTTTTGATCAGGTTCTGTGGTATTGCTTTTACTGGTCTTAGATATTGCTTTTATCAAACTTTAATATGGCTTTTATCAGTCATTGATATTTATCGCTTTAATGAGTTGATGAACTTGCTTTTATAGGTTTATTTGCTTTAATTGTTAATTAATATAACTATTAAAGTTGTACTGGTCTTTGATATATGGCTTTCATTGAACTTTTGATATTACTTTTGTATTGCTTTTAACATGTGATTAACATGTGATTAATATTGCTTTTCTGTATCTATGAAACTGCTATTATGGATATAATACTGATATAATGTAGGGTTGTTTGATATGTGTTTGTTATGTCCTTTATGGTATGAGATTTGTTATATTAGTAGTTGTATTTTCATATTGAAGCATGGAGTTTTATAAATGTGTCACTTCATAAAACAGTTAAATTCTTACGATTTTTTAAATTGTATGTTTCAGGTTCTAGGTCACAAAGAAGGGCTCAGTGTGATGGAGGGCTCCGACCCTCTCGTGTTGTTGATCGGCCTGCCACTCATACCATCTATGCTAATACTGGGTAAAATGATCCGATGGGAAGATTATGTTCTACGACTGTGGAGGAAACATTGCATGAAATCTCCCATCCTCAAATATTTATTTCCAACTGGTAATTACTTACGACATCTTTTATGTTACAGTGTTTCATAAATGACAAAATATTCAATTATCGTCACAAATTGCAGCAGACGCCTTGTCATTAGGGAATACTTATAACTACTTTATTGTCTGAAGTAAAGAACTACTTACTAAGCATTCAGTCAACAAGGTGTTTTGCTTTGTGAAATATGTGATGCAATGTTTTTATGTACTCATGCAATACTGCAAATTTTCATGGTAAGGGGTTTAACAATAGTAACTCAGGTAATTGGACTGGACAGTCTTCCAAGTATTGAGTATATATGTTGGAATACTTGTACAATTTGAGAATGGTGACCAGTCTTGTATCAGTCTTTTTTTGGGGGGTTAGAGCTTTGAACTTAATATTGCTGTAAAGAAGACCTTCCAAGTTCAATATAAGTTTGATAGACTGGTTTTAATTGAAGTAACTACCGGTAATTTTCCAGTCAGAGATTCCATTGCATAACATGGGATTTGGGGTCTTTTATTTACCAGTAAAAAGGCTGGAAATTTACCATAAGACTTTAAAGGAGCCCAATGAAGTTAAGAAGGTTAAAAACATAAAATTTCAGGAGCTTAAGACATTAAATTTTAATTACTTACAAAGATCAAATGACACACTAAATATAGTCAAATAATTATGCAATAAGGAATATCCTTAAAATTTAATTAATTAATCAATTAACATTTTTTTTTATGTTTTTTCCTTCTTTTCTTTGTAAAATTTAAATTAAAAACATTGCAAGGCTTTTTATTTTTGGGTCATTTTCACAATTTCAATGATTATTCTGGAAAGACAGATGGATGGACTGATCTGAAATTGCCCACCCAAGTTGTTAGTCTATGTGAGATGATAAACAATTTGTGTCAATTCTACTCGTGAAGACAACCAAACAAATGTAATTAGTCCCCTACCGGTTTACCGGAGGGGACTTTAGGTTTACCCTCCGTCCGTCCGTCCGTCTGTCTGTCCGTCAGTCAGTCCGTCCGTCCACAAAACTGGATCCCGCGATAACTTGAAAGTACTGAAAATATTTTTATGAAACTTGATATATGGATAGATGGCAGTATGGAGATTATGCACATCTTTTTCTTTTATTCCTATGTTAAAAATTCTGGTTGCTATGGCAACAAATAGGCTGAAAAAATGGTAGATTTTACACGTAAACTGGATCCAGTGATAACGCAAAAAGTACTTGAAATATTTTTATGAAACTTGAAATATGGGTAGATGGCAGTCTGGAGATTATGAACGTCTTTTTCTTTTCTTCCTATGTTGAAAATTTTTGGTTGCTATGGCAACAAATAGACTGAAAATATGGCAAATTTGACACATAAACTGGATCCAGTGTTAACGCAAAAAGTAATAGAAATATTTTTATGAAACTTGTAATATGGGTAGATGGCAGTCTGGAGATTATGCATGTCTGTCTCTTTCTTCCTATGTTGAAAATTTTGGTTGCTATGGCAACACATAGACTGAAAATATGGCAAATTTTACACATAAACTGAATCCAGTGATAACTCAAAAAGTACTGGAGATATTTTTATGAAACTTGACATATGGGTAGATGGCAGTCTTGAAATTATGCTTGTCTTATCTGTCCTTCCTATTTTAAAAAAAATTGGTTGCCTTGGCAACAAATAGGCTTAAAACATGGCAAATATAACAATATTTGTGATTAGTCAAAAAGAGCTGAAAATTTTTATGAAATTGCATCTTTAATTCAAGAATTATCTCCTTTTTAAGAATTTTGCTTTTAAAAATGTTATATTTTGGTAACAGGGATGTTTCAAATATTAACTTTAGAGTGTCCTTCAGTCCGTCTGTCTGTCTGTTCATAAAAACTGTTTCCTGTGATCACTTTTAAAGAACTTTTCCAACAAATTTACTTAAAGTAGAGAAAAATTGAAACATTAGTGAATGGCCAGTGGCCCTTCAGAACGTTGATGGGGTTCTAACCGGTAGGGGACTTATGGATTGCTTGCAATACTATGATAATTGCTTGTTTTTTTTAACTTGTACACCTATTTGTAGTTATTTTTTTTAAATTTGATAAAATATATCAGTGGTTAAAGGGACTCCACTGAGGTTTTTTGACATGAAGGGACCGAAAATATTTTTTTCAAGACTTTTGTGTAACTAGATGTATGTCTAGACAAATAACTCTTGTACAAATTTTCAGATCATTCGCTCACTACGTTTCCCTGAAATAATTAATTTTATTGTGCAAATTGGTCCAAAAAGTGAAAACCGTTGGCAACGCTTTTCACTCAAATCGGCCAAAAAAATTGCATAAAAATAAATTATCAATTTAATACTGTGTATATTTATATGTCACCTATTGCTTGGTTTCAAATTTAAGTATATTGCTGTTGATTTAAGAAAGAATTTTAAAATTTATTATTTTAGACTTTTGGATCACAGTGGAGTTCCTTTAAAGGAAAAAAATTATATTCAAGTTGAGAGCAAAAAGGTTTAAAAAAAAGCCAGAAGAATTCCAAAACTGTTTTAAAAGCCGATGAACAATTCTAGAACTTTGTTATTTGATCTGATAATTTTGTAAATGTGATATATGGGGCCTGGGATAGTCCTATCTCATAAAGTGATGTATTGTGGTATACCATTTCAATATATTTGTCAAAACACAGAGGCATGTTTCTGTAAATGAGCCTTTTATTGTGGTGTTCTATGACAAATCAATAATTTTCATGCACTTATATATTAATCAAAGTCAACAATGAAATATTATACCAAAAATATGTAGTTAAAATGGCTGAGTTCCATTCACTGGCTGCTCGGTGCTGCGCAGTCACACATCTCCAGGGATTTAAAATTTGTTCATGTGAAGAAGCTATCTAGCTAGCTTACAAAAGTTTGATGGTTCTACTCAGGTGACAGCTAACCTAACTGAAGAGGCAATACAATTTGTAAAAGAAATTGTGAAAAAATAATTATGAGTAACTTAGTCAGATGTGTTTGTTAATACAGGGAAGTCAAAGGCTTTGACTTTCCCGGCTATAGACTACATGTGTATACTTATATAATACATGTGTATATTTATTCATTAAAAGATATATAGATTTCTAAACCTTTATATATAACTAAATGATAACCAGCAGGGTATTCCAATAATAAAGCTATCGCAACTTTGTGGCTAAAGAATAATCGTCAATATGGCCCAATTGAAAATGGAAGCGGTACATGAAAACGAAAACATAAAAAGAACAATTTTTTTTATCTGACTTCCCCATTCATAGGCTTTGCCTACTTTCGTATCAATTTGTAAAAAAATTTAACAGGCGAGTTTTAACACTGCATGTGGTGCCCTTGTTTGTATTCTTGTATATTAACAACAGGATATTCCAAATTCAACTGAACATTTGAACCAATCTATTTTACGTCTTCAGCATTGTGAAGGGTGATTGAGTGGACAATTCACTAACTTAATTTTCAGTTTTTACTGTCTCTGGCTGGCACTATGACTGTTTCAGCTACTTATCCGAATATACACAGCTGTATTTATGATGGATGTATATCTGTTGAGTGTAATAATTCCTTTCACTGGCCAACTCAGTATATCTTCACTACTTCTGATTAAATAATGGGAAAGCAAACAAATAAGATATAGACAAAATTGGTTCTATAATCGAAATAGAGCACCATTGGGGAATAGACAAGCGCATTTTATTGTGCTCTGTAATGTCATTTCCTTATTGTTGTTTGATGTGGATAATTATAATAGAAAAGTAGGCAGTAAAACTTGGGATTGTTCTGTATAATTTGATAGTTAACAATTTTCATGCTTTAAAACAATTGAGGGGGACATAAATCTTGTGAAATTATATAGCACATTTATACCAATGTTGTAAATATTTGATATCCGTAATTTGCATTCAATATTAAGCTGGTGCTTACTTTTAACAGTATAGTGTGTCAGGCTAGCCTATACTTTTAACATAATAAAATAAGGCTAGCCTGTATTGTCAACATAACAAAGTCAGGCTGGTCTGTATTTTCAGCATTATAGAATCGGGTTAGCCTGTATGTTCAATATGGGGAAGTCTGACTAACCTGTACTGTCAACAAAATAAAATCAGGCTAGTCTGTACTTTCAGCATAACAGAATCAGGCTAGCCTGTACTTTCAACATAATAGAATTAGGCTAGCCTGTACTTTCAGCATAATAAAATCAGGCTAGCCTGTACTTTCAACATAATAGAATCAGGCTATCCTGTACTTTCAACATAATAAAATCAGGCTAGCCTGTTCTTTCAGCATAATAGAATCAGGAGAGCCTGTATGTTCAATATGGGGAAGTCCGACTAACCTGTACTGTCAACAAAATAAAATCAGGCTAGTATGTACTTTCAGCATAACAGAATCAGGCTAGCCTATACTTTCAACATAATAAAATCAGGCTAGCCTGTATTTTCAACAAAAATAGAATCAGGCTAGCCTGGACTTTCAGCATAATAGAATCAGGCTAGCCTGTACTTTCAGCATAACAAAATCAGGCTAGCCTGGACTTTCAGCATAATAGAATCAGGCTAGCCTGTATGTTCAATATAAAAGAATCAGGCTAACCTGTGCTTTCAACATGATAAAATCAGGCTAGCCTGTACTTTCAGCATAATAGAATCAGGATAGCCTGTATGTTCAATATGGGGAAGTTCGACTAATCTGTACTGTCAACAAAATAGAATCAGGCTAGCCTGGACTTTCAGCATATTATAATCAGGCTAGCCTGTACTTTAAGCATAATAAAATCAGGCTAGTCTGGAATTTCAGCACAATAGAATCAGGCTAGCCTGTATGTTCAATATAAAAATACAGGCTAGCCTGTATGTTCAATATAAAAGAATCAGGCTAGCCTGTGCTTTCAACATGATAAAATAAGGCTAGCCTGTACTTTCATCATAATAGAATCAGGATAGCCTGTATGTACAATATAATAGAATCAGGCTAGGCTGTACTTTCTTTAGTATAGAGTCAGGCTAGCATATAGTTTCAACAGTATAGAACCAGTCTAAACTGTACTTTCAACATAATAGATTCAGGATCAGGCTAGCCTGTACTTTTAGAATAATAAAATCACAAAATGTACTCTTAACAGCATAGATCCAGGCTAGCCTACTTTCAACAGCATAGATGCTGAACTATCTTGTGGAGAATAATTTATATGGTTACACCAGTATCCAAAGTCTACATTACCAAATGACCTAAGCTACCATGAAGTACAGAATTTTTTTCTCTTAAAAGTGTAACATCCTTCAAATTATAACATGCATGAAATTTGTTATTTGCATTATGACACATGTATTTAGAAAATGATTAGTGAGGTATCCAGTTGCTTATGATTGTACTGGCATTTTTTTGATCAGTGACAGTACCAGACATGAAACTTCAGGAAAATGCAAGTATCATGAGGTTTCCAAGAGTTTTTTGTTGGATTTTTACATTGATTTGCATAATAGCTGGTCAGATTTTTATACTCCATGTATATTCAGTGTGAGCAAAATCCTAACGATTTATTTATGTTTTCAGATTATGCAAATCTTGCCCGAACCCCAGCTGAGGCTGCCAACATCTCCGACCCTATCTCAATAACCCGAATGTTGTGTGGTGCGCTTATCCTTCCTACCATAGCAACTACAACAGGCAAAGTCTTGTTTGGAAACGTGACATCAAATTTTCAACGAACATTGCTAGTAAGCTCAGCTGTGATTAATTTCTGATAGTTTTTTTGTGATCTTGCACATGTATCTAATTTTGTGATACAGTCTATATAATTATACAGTATATAAAACTATTTATTTGCTGTGTGTGGATTGTAAAATTGTGTGATTAAAATGATTACAGATTATCTGAAAAAAAAAATCTGTATGTTTTAATAAAATTTAATGGGGCATGCATGAAATCAGAGTCACACCTACTACTAAAATAGGAGCAGAATATTTTGTTCCGGAACATTTCATTCTGTTTACATACAATATTCATGTATTTTGAATTACATAGACATTCTATGTTATAAATCTTTCAAGATACGCCCATAAAGTTATGAAAACAACATAACTGTACTGCTTTTAAAATTGTTATAAAATAGTATATCAGATATAGCTTTTAGCATAGAATATTGATTCAACATTTATTTGAAGAAAAATCACCCTGATCACTCTTTACAAGTGTATCAAAGAAAAAAGACTCAACTATGTTCAAAACCCTGAGATTTAAGTTCACCAGAGTATGGAGAAACTCATGGTATATTTAAGGGTTGATGGTGGATGTCTGCCTTTTTTGTCCACAATTATAACTGCAAAGGACATCTTCTGTAAAAATCAATTTTTTGATGAAATCTGGCTTGGGTGCATGGAGTTGTACTAGAGTTGTCCATATGGTTTTTACATACATTGGACATCTAGGTCACATTTGTTATTTATATATTAAAACGTTAATGTTGGAGGTTGATAAACTTTTTCAAATTCTCAAATGTGTGAATAAAGAAAAAAAAAAACACAATTTTTTTACAATGAAAATTAAAAGGATAGTATATTTCTATATGTATTTTTATCATTTTAACCTGGTAATTTACTATCTTTACAGGGAGGTGTGGCATTTGTTGCTATCAAAGGAGTGTTAAAAATATATTACAAACAACAACAGTATATTCGACAGGCCAATAGAGTTATACAAGACTTTGATCCATCTACGGCGGAAACGAGCGTGCAGTCAAGATCATGAAATAGTGTTGAATCGTGAATTCATTATAAAAACTAAGTACTAGGTTCAACGGAGTTGTGAAAGTCAACGTTTGGGTGATAATTACAGTTCTACATTCATGCCGTAATCTGATTGGATAATAAAGATGTCATTGGTGTACAATTGTCGAACCCACAACATACTAACAGTGCAATAACAGGTTAACTCCTATTAAATTAAGAAGGACTTTACCCGTTACTGCACTAAGGTAACTAGATGTTTTTTCTTAGTCAAAAATTAGAAACATGAGTCAATTAGATATTAACTTCTAAAATGCTGAAACTGAAACTACAAGGTCTTGTCCTATTTCACAGAGTCGGACAAGTTTATACATCTTTTTCAGACGATATATACTGTTGGCTAATAAATCTCTTAATTTTCATGTTAATATCCCTAAAATTGTTATTAAACTGTTCCAAAATGGAAGTTTGACAAGGGCATTCACTAGGTGAAGGGTTATAATATAGGCGTTTGCAGATTATCCAGAAGTAAGCTATAGTTATTGCCCAAAACAGGGCTTTTACATCATCAGTGGGTCTTTGCAATTAGGCAATGACCATCATCATGTGTTTGTGAAAAAAATCTAAGTCAGAACTATGTGTACAGAATACTTGAGGGTTTGTGTCTCTCAATAAATATTATTTTAAATGACAAGTGTTAGAAAAATATATTGTGATGCTGAGATAATGGAAAAAACTTCTGTTTTTCAGATTGTTTTTTTGTAGAACGTGATATGATTTCTAGAGAATGTGATACACCTATACATAAAGCTGCACCCCTGCAAATGAGCAAATTTTTTTTTAGAAAAATCGACCTTGAGAAAAATATACTAAGATTTTAAAACTAGTAAAAAATATTCACTGTTCAAGAAAAAATTTATATGTTATATGCATTAAATGACTGATTTTGCAATATTTATCTCCATATTTCTACTGCATGATTAACACAATAAGGACTATTTTCTTCATATTCTGAACTATTTTTGGTAAATTTTCGTAGATTTTAAGTTTCATTTGCAATGTGTAAATTACTTCCTTTGTTCACTTGACAATATGTTACTTTAAAAAAAAATTAAATTTGTTTGTTAATCTGGAGGCATGCTGCTTTAAAATGTTCAATTTTGTCAATACAATGTACATGTATATCACATAATCTACTGATTTACAAGCCTTTATCCAGGATGTGGGATGGGTTTTTTTCTAGTAGAAAATAAACAAGTTGACAAAACTTGTTGTTACTTATAAGATTTCAGGATATGAAATTTAGATTTTTTTTCAAATTTACTATCCCTGAAATGTAACTGACACTTTCAACTGAAAGTATTACATTTTTGGGGGTGTGGGGGGGGGATTATCAGAATTGGTAGAGAAAAGATGAAAATAATTGAATAATTGACATGCAAAATGTGGAACAAGGTGAAGAGTTTTAATTAGGTCTGCATTTACTCAAACATTGATATTCTGATGTTTTTTCGGGAGTGGGGGTTTATTTTAATGTATATTTTTGATATTTCAAGGTTTCCCAGCCACTGGGCTGACCATAGTATGTCTTTGTGTAAATTTTAATACATACATATTGCAGAGTCAGGGTAAAGTGATTTTAAGTCAAATTAAGGAGATGCAGAGAGAAATAACAGAGTTAATATACATTTAACTTAAATATTTTTTGGTAACATAAAAGGTACATACAGCTATTAATTTCTTACAACATTATTTTCTTGTCCAGTTTCAATACAGTAACTTGAATAAGGATGCTAATGAAAGAAAAACAGTTAGCTGAAATATAGACAAATTTTTAACCTAAATTTCTAAAAGTAAATGATTTCTAAGCAGTTGTAATTTTTTTGCAGTGCAACCATAATACATACATTTACAGCTCCAATCAACATTATAATAATATTAAGTCAGCATCATTTTAAGCACAACAATGAGTGTCCATTCTGTTATACATTTAAATTTATTGTAAGGGAAGTAACTCTTCCATGGTACTTCAATATTATCTTTTGATTAGCTCCCTTTACACTCATATAGTGTACTTATATGAAAATCTTTGATTATGTCCCTTTGATATAGTAAGGAACTTAAAAAGTGTTAATTTTACAATATATTTGTATAAATACTGATATTTAAATGGTTAACTTTTTTGAAGACTTTTTTTTTAAATTCTATTTTTTTTTTTCTTTATTGTTAAAAAAAAGAAATAGAATAAATTTAACATTAAGTTACTGCTAAATAAATTACCCATTGTTATCATCCATACATCACCTTGTAAATTAGACATTGCCTCCAGTGGTTTCATTAATTCTCTCAAAAACATGTGAGCAAGATGTTTATTTTTATCTCTTAAAATAGATAATGTTACATATGTTTATCTATTCAATGAATCGCTGTCATTTTCAATGTCCTGGAGTCATTTTATGTTGCTATTCAATTTTTTTTATTTTATGTTTCGGCCAAATGGGTTTTTTTCTTAAACAAAACTTTCAACTTTTAGTATGCGTTTGGGTGATGAAATGTATTTATCTTTTTTTTGGACGATTTAAAGGAAAGAAAAAAGTGAAATTTTATATATTTATTTTTACATTTTCTTTTAAATTTTGATGGAGGGAACACTGTGTTGAAAAAAAGTATTCTTCTTCTTTTTTCTTGTTTTTATAAATGGTGTTTTAGTGTGGTTTTGCTTTTGAACATCAAAGTTTTCTTGCTTGACTACCTCAGTAGGGAAATTGTATTAGTTCCACAGATATGAATGCATTGGTTTTGTGCTGTAGACAGAGTATGTCCAATCAAAAGATTGAAGTCTCTATGTTATACCACCATGTCAGGTTATGAAGAATATTGTTTTATTCATGCCTGTCTGTCTGTCTGTCTGTCTGTCTTACACTCTGCATCTACTTCAACCTTGCCCCATACCATCTTCAACCTTTTATTTCTTTAGGCTAGAAATTTGAGGATCATTATTTAAAAAATTTTTTTTCTTCAGATTTTTGTATTCTTATGAAAAGGCACCGGGCATTCTGTGTTTTGACAAAATGATGCCGTTTTCTTTTTTCTTCTTTTTTTTTCTTTTTCTTAGCATTTTATAATTTCAATAATAGTGTATGTACCATGTTGACATATTATGTATATAGAATATTGTAGTTTATGTCACCATCTGTTACAATTACAGATGATCATGTGTAAAACAATTAATATTTCATTGTATATGTGTTAATCTTGTTAGATATACAGTCAACTCCGTTTATAACGAACTCAATGGGACATTAAATATTGTTTGTTATATCCGAAGATCACTAAATGCAAAGTAGCAACAACTTTTGCTGATTTGTTTTGGTGGGACAATTTGCTGTGAAAAAGCCCGACCCGTCACCATTCAATAAGTGTAATAGGTATATCACGGCAGGGGTAATTTAATGCAGGCTTTTATTGAACAAAATATGAGCCGCGTCACGACAAAACCAACATAATGGGTTTGCAACCAGCATGGATCCAGACCAGCCTGCACATCCGCGCAGTCTGATCAGGATCCATGCTGTTCGCTATCAGTTTCTCTACTTGTAATAGGGTTGGTAAGCGAACAGCATGGATCCTGATCAGACTGCGCGGATGCGCAGGCTGGTCTGGATCCATGCTGGTGGTGCAAACCCATTATGTTGGTTTTGTCATGACACGGCTCATATTATATACATGTATTTGGATAATTATCAAATAGCGGTATATTTATACTGATCTTTAATCGAGCACATTCCGATATTATAATTATAACAGTTTGTTTTAACCGAGGAAATTTACGTGTTTTCCACCATATGGGACTAGAATAAATTGTTCGCTATAGCCGAAAATTCGTTTTAAGCGAGTATGTATAAAGCGATGTGATTTGATATAAAATAAAGAAGGAATCAGCTGGGGATTTCAAATTTAGTTCACTATAAATGATAATTCCTTATAAGCAAGTTCGTTTTAAGTGGAGTCGACTGTACATTAATACAGAATAATCATTTCATCATTGGAACTTTTTCATTCATTTATTCAAATTGTTAATTGATATACCGGTAATCCAGCATGTATCAAATGTTAGGTATTTTGTTTCTGAATATTAACTATAGGTATATTTTGAATTTTCTATGTTTTATTATGAAAAGTACTAAATGTATTCAAACATAAAATATCCTTTATTTTGGTAATTTCAAATACTGAAGACATACCGGTGTAATGAATGCCCTGTTCTTTAGTAATGTAAATACTTTTTATTGAATGCCCTGTGGTTTGGTTATGTATATTCCGGAGATATACCAGTTTGTTAACTGCCCTGTTCTTTTGTAATGAAAATACTGAAGACACACCAGTTTTATTGAATGCCCTGTTCTTTGGTTATGTAAATACTGAAGACATACCAGTTTTATTAAATGCCCTTTACTTTATTAATGCTACTTTATTAAAACCAAAGTCATATATTAAATGCCCTGTTCTTTGGTAATGTAAATACTAAAGATATACAACAACAATGAATACCATAATGTTTTATTTATGAAAAGTACAGGACACATTTCATTGAAAACCGGATGTTTTGTTTTTAAAAAAAAAAAATCTGATAATTCATTGAAACCTTTGACATTTTTATCAATAGATTAAGTTTTCAAATATTATCATCACATATTTATGGTGAAAGGTGTGAGGATTTATCTATATTATATCTTTATACTATACATTTATAAATATAGGAGTTATTTTTGATATGATGCATGCACCTTTGATCACTGATTGCAAAACTCCGAGGATAAGTAAAGAACACACATACACATGTGATCATGACGATAACTGTGTCAGTTTATACATTTTACTGGTTTTTGAACTTTTTCTTTCAACACAACATTAAAGGGACTCCACTGAGGTTTTTTACCATGATTGGACTGGAAATTATTTTTCTGAGATTTGAGTTCCATTTGATGTAGGTGTAGACCAGTAACTTGTGTGCAAAGTTTCAGATTATTATTCAATCATGCCAGTTTTCCAGAATTTGTGCAAAATTGACACTGAAAAACGTTTTAACGCTTTTACCTCAAATTGGGTGAACAGTCATACAAAAAACCATTTTCAATTTGATTTTGAGTGTACTTCTTCCTTATTTTTTGCACTTTTCGATTTAAGTACCGTAAGTTGTCTTTTTGCACACACACAAAAAAAAATCAAATTTTATGTTAATAGAACTTTGGACGTCAGTGTAGTAGTTTCATTAGTATTTTGCTACTATAAACCTTGTAACAAGTTATTTTATCAATTTATTTGAATGTACTGTTTTTGGTCTTCCTTTTTTTCTCACTACAAAATAATTTGTTATAAGTAATGGCTTCCTTAAGGAAATGACTGTTTCAGTTTATTTGTGTAGACTTGCTTTTATAGTTCATCAATAAAACAGAAACTTAAAGCTGTAATCAATTTGTCTTGTCAGACTGTTAGAAGCGTATTAATTTGTAACAATCTTCTCAAATGTCAGACTTGAGTAGGTTCTCTACAATATGTGATGTATTTATTAGTCTGCCCATAGAAATACTGTACGAATTTTCACAAAAATGTTCCGTCAGACTTAGATAGTAAATAGTTTTAAATTAATATATTAAAGAATATACTAGTACTACTGACTTCCATGCACATGCTCAGTCAAACCGAGCCTGCAAGATATTTGCTATGTTGGGTGACCTATAACCCTTAATCTGTTGGAAAACCAAAATTGAATAAGCCATAGCCAGGCCAGCCTGCACATCCGTTCAGTCTGACCAGATAACAATGTTGATTGACTAACTTCAAAGTTTTTCATCTTGATAACCCCAAGATTGAAATATGGACAGTTCCAGAAATGAATTCTGGGCAAGTCCATTAAAAATTCAGCTTGTAAGGGGTTAAAGTTTTTATTTTCTTTTATCTAAATTAAAGCATTGATTATTATAACATAGTGGGTAGCCTGACCTGACTCTGTACTATTGGCTGCTCAAATATTGCTTGATGATATTGAAATTCCCTCAAACTAATGAAATGGGCTGTTCCAAAGTAAAAACAGGACAAGTCTATTCTGTACAAGAGAGATATATTAGCAAGAGTATTAGTGAAAATATTTTTTGTTATCTCACTTCAGTAAGATATATTCTATATTCCTTCAGCAAGCATTTTCCTACTAGATATTATTATATGATGATATTTTTACTTTGTTATGTATGCATATGAATTTATGTCTTGAAAAAGTTATTGTAGATGAAGATAAGTGTGATGTAGCTAAAACTCCTAATTTATGTTATATAAGTTACAACTGTTTAGCAACAAACACTCAAATATTTCCCATTTTAATGATAGTAGAAAAATTGCACCAATGTAACCTTATGTTTTAAGTAATACGTCTTATAAGTCTTAAGTTGAAAGAGTGTTTTAATATGTAGAGAGTGGAAATGCTGATATTAAAGATTTATATAATTTCACTGCCAAAAGAATTAGGGTACCAATACCTATATGGGTGATTTTTTTCCTAATCATAATTATTTAGTACTGGTAATTGTTGAAAAATGATTTTGATATTATCAGGTATTGAAAATTGATTATAAATGGTAATAAATGAGAGAAAAAAATCCATCATTATTTGTAAATGATAATTATATTTTGATTTTGATTTTTAGAATATGAAACAAAACTTTAGCCAGTATGTTTTATGTTAAAAATATAAATCAAAATACATTGTTTTGTTAGGCATTTGTTTATTGGTTGATATTTGACTATGTTCATGTTTTATTCTAGTATAAAAAAACATGACATGTTTTTGTAAATAAGTAGATAGTAAAAAAAAATATTGCTTTAAGGGAAGTTAGGGTGCTAGGTGTTCAGGAAGAAGGGGAAGTAGATTATTTATTGGAAACAGTGTGAGACAGTTTCATTACAGGTGTTTACCCCTTTACCTGGTGAAAC